AATATGTATTTAATTTTGTGAACTAGTTAGATGTAGTTAATGTGTTCAGCACATTTACTAAATTATTCCTCCAACATTTTTACTTTAAATGATAAGGAGAAAGGAAGTGCATTTTTATGGTAATATTTATTTTTTTCCAAATTCCTATTAATTTGGCTTACTGGGAAGTGTTCATTATTATACCAAACTTTTAATTACACATCTTGGATGTGTACTTTTAATTAACTGATGACATTTTCTTTGTTCAATTATTGTAGTTCAATACAACTGTCATAAACTTACAAATTTTAATTAAGGTGCCCCAATCTCTAGCTATATAATGTTCACATAGGAATTTGCCAAAAGGCTTAGCAGTAAGTAAACCAACAGTGAATAATCCCTGAATTGCCAGTGGGATTTGTTCAACAAATTAACATTTGTGTGCAGATAATGAGGTTCTACAATTTACCACATCCAGCAAAGATTTAGCACAATCATGTTGTAAAAAATGAGTAATACTCTTCAATTTACTTAAATGGTTATCACATTACTATTATATACCAGGTGGTGAAAGAGAAAGCGATTTACACATTTATGAGAACACACACGTTCACTAGAAGAGTATTTTATATGCTGTGACATTTTATTTATATCAGATCACGATGAAAGGTTTGTTTTCAGGATACCTCTTCCTCAGTTTTTGAGTCAGAAGCCAACAATAAGGAAACCCCCCGACTCCTAGCGAAGTCTCCCAGCAGCAGGGACCCCACAGAAGCTCATCTCCCTGTGAAGCTAAATTTCCTGGCTTTCCAGAGGGCATGCATGAAGAACAACACTCATTACATTGACTACATCAAAGCTGTTTGAGTCGGATAATAGATGAGAATCGATAAGGGCAATCAGAGCTTCTAAGAAAGACAGAGCCCAGCAAGCTGAAATTATCACAGGTCATTTATATTTTGCAGATAGGACTTAGATTGGCACTCAGACATATGGCTTCTGCAACTTCCAGAGGAAAAGGTTTCATCATTTTGAACAAAAAATAGATTTAAGAAAAAAGAGAAAATGGGGAAAATATGTGCAACTTGATTGCATCAGTTTAGCAGGACAGTTTGATGAGCCAATTGTATAACGGATCGAAAGTATGAGTGCTGCTTTTTGAGGAACTTGTCCTGAGCACTGTAGTGTAGGAGGTGGTTTGCACAGACAGTAAAAGAAATTAAGATGATACTGAGCTGACTCTATTTTAAAATAGTTATTTTATACTTTCCAGAAATGTGAGAGAATTCTCTAACAAAAGAAAAAAAAAAACAAAAAAAACAAACCAAAAAACACAACTCCAGAAAGTATGCAATGTACCTATTGCTAGTGGACAGGTCAGCCTGGCAGGATGTAGTTTCATAAATCCAGACACAATATAATGCTTAAGTTGCACAACCATTAAGGAAAAGCAGCAATTCCGGGTAATAAGGAACCTTTTTATTCCTACAGGTAGTAATGTGGAAGAATAAAGTAACAGGTACTCTAGTGACACTCATATGAACCTGACAAAGCAGATCAGCTCTGCCTTGAAGGCTGAGACAAGAAAGAAGCGAAGCAAAGGAAGCTGCTCTGTCCTGGATTTCATACCCTCAGTCCAAACTGGGAACGGTGTTTGCAGCCCCTGTGGTTAAATGTTCACCCACTGATGCAATGACTGAATGACATGCTCTGCACAGTGGTATATCTGACTGGAAAGAGGAAACAGTTGTCGCAAAAACACTTGAGGAATTAAGTTTTGTTGACTTAATTACGATCTTCAATACTTTTGGGGCATCCAGTTTAGCTTCCCTCTGTAAGATGCATAATGGTTTTAGTATATCATGGATGAGATTAAACTAGGATAAGGGGACATCTCACTGACATGCTAGTTTATTTCAGAAACACACGATTTATGGCCTGATATAGATAAGAAATAAAGTCTGATAAGAAATAGAGATTTCTTCTTAATAGAATATTTACAGGGTCCAGGGGCTAGGCATGCAAGAAAGAAGAGATGTGGAACAATTTGAAAATTTTATCTGGAGTGCAGGATGGAGTGATTTAGAAAGATTATATGGTCTTTTCCACGTCTCCAGAACATGGAAGTTATGGGACAGGCTTCAAGGCACAGCTATCCTCATGAATTGGAAATGGCAGATAGGAAATCTGGTTAACTTGAAATATGGTTATGAAAATTTGATTGAACTGGGAAAGTGGACACAGTACAGTAGAAGAATATTCCTATTAGCAGGTACACCGAGTCAGAGCCATCAGAACAAGCTCTACACTGGTCTCAGCTAAGGCTTGGCACACTGGCCATGCGTGGTACAGTCAACTTGAGTTGCAGTTAAAGGTTCAGATTCCCAAAAATCAGGCAATTGAACAGCGAGATGAGGGCTGTGGTGACATCCATGCTGGCTCTTCTGATGCATTTTTGGGACAGGCACACTATCCTGTTCGAGACCAAGCAGAAATAAGGTTAAATCCGGCATCCCCAGGCCCTCTGTAGCAGCTGGGGCCATGATTAACAATTTAGCAGAAGTGCATTGTAGAATCTGCTCGTATCTCTCCTTTGCTCACTGGTGACTAAACCTACCACACTAATTATTTCAGAAAGGCTGAGAGACTTCACAGGCTGGATTTAGCAGAGAAAAAAAAAATAAAAAAAATTGCAGGCGACAGCATAGCTGTGTGAGCCCAGCAAGTGTGAGCTGCTGGAGGTGAGGAAGCCCTATGGCTACTGCCAAAAGAAAAGGATTAAATAAACCCCTGGGGTCTCTGCAGGATTCAGAACTGACCTGAGTTCTAGGAGCTGAGTTATTCATTTTATGAAGCTTTTTAACCCCACAAAAATATTAATTAAATGTCAGCCATCTAAGATGTGAGAGTAAACATCCTCTCCTCAGATGACACAGAAGTTCTGCACGTCATTTAAATCACCCGTGACTGACTTTCTTTCCCTTGTATGTTCTCACTAAACATATATTGATCTCACTACATTGTGTCAGTAGTTCCGCCAGCTATTAGAAACAGTTTCAAGCATAATTAATCAACTTTAAGTACAAGTAATTCTCATTTTCTAATATTTAGTCATTATTAGTGATGTTAACTATGAACAGCATTGTTAACCCCCAAATACCCAGAATGAAAAGTCCTCTGTTTACTAGATTTGCACTCCCTTGGATTTTTGCCACCACATCTCTGTAAATAAGAGGAGGCTCCAGAGAAGCCAGCCAGTGAAGCTAAATCACTAAACTAGATAAGCTGAAGTTAATGAGTAAGGAGTGCTAAGGAAAACATTGAGACCTAACCCCCCTCTGTCACAGAGGCTGAGACACAAGATTCTGCAGTGCAGGGAGCTCTCCCTGGTTGTGCTAAACAGTCAAAACTCCTGTTCTTAAGTCAGGTGCCTGTACTTTTCTTAGAGAGATCAAGGTGCTGGTGATTTCATCACGTAGGAGAAAATGATTCACACCATCTGCAGCAGCTGATAGGCTTCGGAGATGAGACAGCAAACTCTTCTCCAGCTGCTTTGAATCAAATATTTAAATATTCCTTGGAGCAGACTGTAGAGTTCAAGTTCTCCTTTCAGAATTACTAAATTTCAGACCACTTCTTATCACACCTTTTCTCTCTAGCACAAACACCAATTGCATTACACCAGCTACATGTTAGGGACAAAGATCAACTGCCAAATACCTGCATTCTGACAGCTAGGATAATCTCCCTGAAGATAAGAGATGCGATTTCAAATTCCTTCAGGAAAAAGAAAGGATCTCAGTTCGGATCAACAAAATCTTCCAGAGAATTAGATGAGTAAAATGCCTGCTTTGTGAATTACAGTTAAGACAAAAGTAAAATATTGAGGTCGCACAACTCTGCAATTTAAGGAAATATCTCTATGTATGCACCTAAAAGTTTAGAGGGAGAATTGAGATAGAGAGCAAGATGTGTGGGGCTGTTCCAGATGCAGTCTGACTGCTTTACAGTTCCATTTCTACACCTCGACATGTGTGTCTTTATACTGAATAGTTACTTACATGCTCCCTTTTTTGAGATGCAGCTTAATTCTGCTAAAACACCGGGACAGGTGAATGAAAAGCACTATTGACTATAAAGCAGAAGTACAGTACACACTGCTATATTGCACATAGTTTAAGCACAAAGTAAATAAGTTACAAAGAGAAAAAATACCACAAGCAAGGAATAAATTCAAGCACTTGAATTAAGGGTGGTGTAATAGATAGAGCTTCTCAGAAATATTTACCGAGGAGAGAGGCTCCGCAGGTTCCTCCATTCTGGCAGTAGTTGTAGCAATGGTTAGTTTCACACCTTTCACCGGAGTAACTCGGCCAGCAGTGACATCGAGGATCCCCCTTCTCGTTTATAATGCACTTCCCTCCATTTTCACAGGTTAATTTACAGGTATCATCTGCAGCAAGAGCACACACAAAATTGTTTTCAACAATTCCACTTCATGTAACCGGCAAAACAGAACCTGTTTGCATCTTAAACAGAGATAACCGATCTCTATCAATGGGGGAAAAATATCAAATTTAAAAACTGAGGCAACAAACTATCACTTCTGTTTCCACAGTATTTTCTGTTTTATTCTTATTCTTGCCTGCTCAGTCTGTAAAACCACTGAGAAGAGATACCGCTGCGGCTCTGCATTCACCGAGGGCTTATGGCAGCAGTGCCACCGTCCTAGTGGTGAGGTACGAGGTGACACAGAGTCTGATGAGGCCACATTCAACCTTTCTGTACAGCTATTCTGCAGTTAGGCTTGTGACTGTCTTGGAAACACTTTGAAAAATAGATTTCTATTCATTTCAGTGAAGAAGATATAAAATAGTTCAATGACATCCACACTAAATTAATTACACAGTGCTCAAACATCCAAGTTATTTTAATCCTATAGAAACAGACAAGCACCTTTCCAGCCCAAAACATGCTTTTCCATTTCTCACATAGCAAAACAAATCCTGTGAAGCCAGACTGCTGCCCGACTAACCCAGCATTTGAACCTACATGGCTTTTAACAAGAGGGATACCACAACCATGGAGAACTCTTCAGTAATGGAAGAGAGTCAAGGTTCCCATTTGTCCTATGCTTGTTGAGATCCAAGATGGACTGACACAGGCACACCAACTCCTTTTTTTTTTTTTTTTTTATGTTTAAAGAAACACGTTGCATCCTAAGTGCAGAATTTAGGAATGTCGGATATCCTCCAGCTGAATGGTTCTCTCCAGTGCGGGCTCTGCAGAATCCAGTCATATAACCGTGCTTGTGCAGCAGCCTTTTCTCTGGATCCACCCTGCTCTTTGCTCCTCCGCAGGGTCCAGCTGGCACATTGTTATTTCAGGTGTTTTACAATAGAAATATGAATTACCATATGCGCTTAATTTTTTGGTATCCGCTCTGGATATAAACATCTGCTGTAACAAAGCTGCTTTGTATTTGGGAGTTTGAGGATGCCTCAGTGTTCTATTTATTTGGGTGGTTCATTAAATCCTTTGATGTTCCATGAACCATTCTTCAGTTCCTCATTACAGAAGTTGTTTAAATGGATAATGTAGCATAACTTATTGAAGAGAAAGTCTATTTTTGTTTTGCTTATCTTATCTGTTTTGTTTATCGTTAGTCGTGAGTTTATAGAGCAGAACTCGGTAAAAACAGAATAAATAACACTGAAGTACAGACAAGTGTTCATTTTTATGAACCTTTCTGATAGCACATTAAAAACATGTTATATTTCACTTCTAGAGCAATTCTGCAAAACTAAGATATAAAATTTGAAAAAAAATGGGAAATCAAGTCAGAATTAAGACAGACTATGAATTCAAGATAAAAACTGATTATCAAAAGGCATATTTAGAACTACAAAACATGAACAACAAACTCGAAAAGTTACCCTAACCAGGCCCAGAAACACATGCCTTCAGATTTTCAGGAAAATGTACTGAGCCAAAAATTGCCCAAGCTAACGGTTTTCTAATCCAATGGGCTTTCAAAGATTGGGACACTCATATACTTTAAAAATGTAAATATGCTACATCTTTACGCAACGTCAACTGAAAAGTTGCTGAAAAAAACATAAAAGTTTGTAACATCTTGTATCATCACAGGATTATTAACATTTGCTACTGATTTGGTTCTCTATAAAACATTTATATTCAAGAGTTTCAACACAAATCTAATATGAAACAGAGAAAAGTTAACACAACTATTTTGGTCTTTAAATAAGCTAAGAAATAGGATTGAAAGATGTAATGGATAAGACAGGTTTAAAATACTATGTTAGACTTTAACAATATAGCGATTTTAATGCTGCTGCTTTATTGTCTGAAGGTAAATACAAGAATCGAATTACTCTTGCTGATTCACATCAACTGAACACAAAAGGGGATCAGGTGCCTTTGTGTAGGAGACAGAAGCAGAACAGTCCCAGAGGAGAAGACACGAAGAAAAAGAATACAGGAAAGAACCACAGAAGAATTGTTATAAAAAGCTGAATACACTTCATTTAAATTACTGAATAAAGACTTTTGAAAGAAGAGCTGGGAACAGCTCTAGTATAGTACCCACTATTGGAACAAAGTTTGAAAAAAAAAAAAAAAAAAAGTTACCATCTCGAGTCAGTTCAAATAATTCCTTTCACTTGTTATACTGCTCCTAGTCTAGCTATTGGATCTCTCTAACATGAAAGAAAGGAAAGAGTTACAGATCATATAATTTTATATATTCTCTCCTAGCCTGGTTATTTAGTCTTCTGCTGCCTTGATTTGCCTATTTCAATCTTAATGTATCTTTAAAAAAGAATCAAATAACTTCTTCAGTTTTTCTTATGTTTTTCTTCCTGATATGACTGTTTGACACCAACATTAATGAACTTACAGCTTATTTGCTCCATCTTTGACTCTTTCCTTTAACTGAAAGTAAAAGGAAAATCTTACATAGCAGAAATACCGATAAACCAGAAAAACATAGCTTTGTGAACTCTACTGCTATTTTTTCCTTCACTTGTTCAATTTTTTTACATACCATCCTCCTCTCCCAAACACACACATACACTCATTTTATAGTGGAATTTCTATACCAAGCTTTTCTTTCTTGAGAAAAATGCATCTTACTTTTTGCTATTTTTTTCCCTTTGAAATATCCACTGATTTCTGGACTAGGCAGTTAAATGGAGAGATAATGCCATGGAGCACAAGGTTAATGAGCTACATTCTTTGGGACAAGAACAGTTTCCCATCCCACAGTGGAACACAACTCATCTCACGGGGCAGAAAGGTATTTGTTCTTGCCAATCCTTCAGACAAGGGTGTAGCTCATCCTTTACTGAGCTGAATGCACCTATTAAAGACAGAGTGCAGAGTTCTAATCTTATGTAAGGTTCTATAAATCTTCCTGCCCCTCCAGATAAGGGTCCTACTATCTGCCAGTTTTCCACTTACTGAAATTTATCAGAACAAGTTGTAATCCCCAAATGTTGTGTGAATGCTGTAAGACAGACCCTCCTCTTTGTTTTACCATCACATTTTTTTTTCTTTAAAAAATTTGTTTGCTTTACAATTTTAAATGGAAGAGATGGGCAAAGAAAAGGATGCACAGTGAGAAAAAACTAACCAACGCCTGCTGTAATGTAACCCATTTTCTTCTGTTCCGGAAAATACCAGTCCCAATGGTAACCTCTTTGTAAATACAGAAGATACTGCTGTAAACAAAAGATTTCTTCCCAAATCAGAAGTAGCTTTCTATATTTGACCCCAGTTCTGTTTGATAGCTAAAAAGGCTGCAAGTAGGACAGGAATCAAGAAGATAGCACGGATTGAAGTGCAATAGCTTTTGTTACTACAGTTCCCTGAGGCAGACCTGCTGGGTGAAAAAGAAGGTGTATCGGGATTAACCTCTACATCCCCAGCCAGAGCACTTCCTCTGCCTGCAATCTATCTGCAGTGGGGAAGTCCCCACGGAAATGTGCTGAAGGAAACACCAGGATAAATTAAATGTTTCATCTCTGTTCAGAAGCAACGTCAGCTCTGAGTCTTTGTAATTTTTTCTCAGGTTTTTTGTCCAGACAAGAGAGCACAAATATTCCCTTCTTAAAATGAAAGTGATAAACATACAGCTCCAGAATATGGAACTCTTGGAAGTGTTCATTACTCTTGCTCATTCAGCTGTGGTACATAATGTCTTCCTCCAGTGTGAGCCTCTGTATTTTCATCCTCTTGCTACGTTTTTAGCTTCGTTGTGCTATAGACAATTAGATACAATAAACCTAATGGATGCAAAACCAGTGGTCTCTTTTAGGAAAACGAAGTGCTACCCTGCCCATTTGAGAACTACAGGGTAGCTTCTAAACTGAAAAAGTCAGGCCTGCTATAGTCAATAAATAAACCACAAAAAACCTGTGCTCTGTCAATCATAATCCTCTAGGGAGAAACGAGATGGACGCTCATTCAAGAACACACAGGAACTTGCTGTCATTTTGTTATAAATCCGTTTGGAATGATACAACACACATATGTTGTAATAACTCTGGCTTGAAAAAGCAAAATCAAACCCAAAAGCTGTTCCTCATCAGTTGTGCGAGATGCTGGTGAAACAGCTGTCTGAAGCAATCTGGATTCAGTCTTACAGAAAGCCACTGAGGATTCAATATTGAGAATTCCTCACGTAGGACTTACGAAGAAAAATCCACTCAATGGATCAAGCCAGTAGTAATATGATGCAGAATTTCAAGATGTAGCTCAGTTTTCTTTTGTTAAAAAACCCTCCAACAATCCAATGAACAAGAACCTGAGTCAGTTTTTGGGATATAGTCACAACAGAGCAAGACTGAGATTACCTCCCAGTCACCAAGCTTAAGGTAGATTGACTAAAAGAAACTGTTCAAAGTGTGTAAGGCATCATTACAATAGCCGTGCCAAAACCTACCAAAACGAAGAAGAGCATAATAATGTTGAAAATAATAATTACCTGATGGAAGGCATTTTTCACATGGATAAAGACATTGCTTTGTTGAAACAGAATCTTCAAATACAGACTCTTTTGGGGGCACTATTCAAAATGGGTGGGAATTGGAGATGGTTGTCCCATTTTGACTCTGCCCAGTCACGGAAATCTACTACCAGCTTCTTTACCACATTTTAAAAGGCCCAAAACACTTAAAGACACTAAAAAGTATTATAAATGTTCTAAATACTATTGTTTACTATTGTAATTGAATTACATATTATTCAAAATGTACGGCTTAGTCATTCAGGTTCTTGATATCCACAATTACTACTGATTTATGAAACTAAAAGACTTCTTAGATGACTTGGAATAGCTACTGTACACATACAAAACAACCAGTACACCTCACTTCTGTTGCTACATGAATGATGTCCACTAAAAGTCTTTAAAAGTTGAGTTTTCAGATCTGTAAATTAGTGGTAGTGTATTTTTGAACACATAAAATATAAAGTATGTAGATCATTGTAACCCATACTATGTAACTATTGCATTGTGATCAAACCAGTAACAAAACCAAGGGAATACACCAGTTAAAAAATGTTTCACAGATACTCATATCTCAAATTAAAAACCTCCCAGATTTCATTCTTTTAGGGACAAACTAGAAGACCACCAAAACCAACAGGTATATTTCAACCAACTTTGAATCAGGATTTTATTGCAGACCAAGAAAAAATATGACTATATACCCTCCCTTTGGATTAATGTCAGGTCACTCTTCTACAGTACACAGGTTTTGATAGTCACGTAAGGCAGGAATTGCTGTTTCGGGTTATTGACTATGCCAAAAATGCTCTGAGACAAAGACAATATAATGCTAGTTTTAAATAAGCGGAATATATGCAGATTGGAATATTTCCTATGCATTTTTTTTAATTCCATACTGTGTAACTTCCTAAAGGAATAGAACCTGTTTTAGAGCTTGTAGCTTGTTTGCAGGCTACTAGCGATCTATCAAGTGGGTTGTCAGCCAGCCATTAATTATAAATTTGTATAATTCAAGATGCTTATCTTGGGGTCAGCTCTGATCTTTCCAGGAATCTCTGCTGATCCTTGGAAGCCTAAGTGGAGCGTCAGCATGAGACAAACATTTAACATCCACTTCATACTTTTTAAAAAAAAAACAAACTTGTGAGTAAGCTATGATAGTGAGGCTTGTTTAAATTCATAAATTGTAACCTGTGAGGCTAAAAAACCCGCAATCTACTATCACAAAAATAACATACAAGAAAAAAAAAGTACAAAAAAGCCTATGTTAGACATTACTTGAAATAGAAATGTAATCAGAAAACTAAGAAACACACATTCAGCGGCCCTGTAAAAGGCATAACAGATATTGCAGTTGTGGGAAGATACTGAAAATTATCAATATATTAAAAATGCTTTTCTAGGCATTTTCTGTCTATCCATAAAAATTTACAGCCAGTGGTGAAATAACGTAAAAGCCTCTTCAGATATTTCTCTAATAAAACCATACCTTCCTGAAAACTCTAACAATCCTTTGCCCCACTAGTAAAACTGTAGCATAGCTGAAATTATGGGTTGAAATTACTACCAACCACCAGTTAAAAACAATATTCTTTTATTTGTCCTTTCTTCAACACCTAAGGAGTAACTATGGGTCATTTGAAATAATTTTTAGGTGGTACTGTATCAGCAGAAAATCTTGACAAGTGTCTATCTCAGATGAACAAAGAGCTGACACTTGGAGGGGAAGTTCTCCTCTATCAGTGGAAGTTGTAAAAGAGCTGTAAACTACTTTATAATTGTATAACTATTACATAAATACACACCGATAGGTATTCAGCCAAGGGTGCTCAGTAATGAAGCTTTCATTTTTTTTTGTTAGAGCATGGTGTAGTACGTACAAAAGTTGGTACTGTAAATGCATTGCATACAATGTACTCCTGCATAAGCAGAAAACATGAATGGGTTTGTTAGCTAGGACAAGCTTTCTAGTATTCTTTTACTCTCTGAATTATTCTTAAATTTCTTGATACAGAAAGAGAAATGCTGTAGACAGGACAGATTCATTAATACCACATCATCAACCACCAAAACACAGTTGTGTTAATTCAATATTTAAAGACTAGGCAGTGTAAATAGGTGACATTTTCTCCACAGAATGATGATATTTCAGGTAAATTAATTTAATTGCTAAATTGAGCATTCTAAGTACTGAGGATCTCACCAAAATATGTATTACTTACACTTCTGAGCCTGGAATTAAACAGCAGAAAAACAACCTAATACATTCTGACTTCTCATACACATATGAAATGCTATTCTATGATTTCTAGAACCTTTTAAAATTCAGGCTGGAATTCATTCCAGCGCTCTGACCACCTTAGGTTTGGCCTCAATTAGAATGGGAATAGTTTCAAAGTACTTAATAATCTTCTACGGAAAAGAAGATTTTTTTCCCCTTAAAATACAGCAAGAACTTAATAGCTCTTTTACCATGAACTCTATTTCTTGTATCTTGATTTTAGTCATTATGGATGTTACTGAAAAACAAAATTTTAGACTAAAATATTTCAGTTGGCTTTTTTTCTTTTTTGCCTGTTACTTCAAAGTCGTCATTATTTGCTATGTTGCTCTTACTGCCTTTTGACTATTGCTGCAGTCTCAGCAGAGGTGTTTCTTGATGGTCTTGAAGGTTATTATTTTTCTTCGGAATGGCTAATGTTTAATTTGGAATCCAAAATGTTTCAGAGCTTTTCAGACTTCTTTTGGTCAATATATATACACATTCACTTTTAAATATAATCTTGTATCAGTTCATCTGAAAGCTTATTTTTCATTTTGATGACTATAAACGGTTTTTTGAATCAGGAACTTTGCTTCTTTGTATTTAATTTCCATTTCAGACAAGTGATATGTATATTGAACAACATCACAAAACTCTTGACTCACAGACAGCCTAGCCTTTTGCAATGACAAAACCTGACAAGTTGTTTATTTTCTGGTTTTCATGCAGTTTTCAATACCTACCTAAGAGGCTCTGATCAATGCATGTTCCATTCACCAGTGATTTTCCTTCTGGACAAGCACATGTTGCACCAGAAGGGTTCAGTAAACAAATGAATTCACATGTTAGGTCCAAGCATGGATTAGGCACTGTTTAAAAAGACAAAATATTAAAAATACAGATTTTTTTTAATTTTTTTTTTTTAGAATTACACTGTGTTGCAGAACTAGGAAAAATAAAATAATCTGATACAAAAATTCGGACGCACCCTCAGTTTCCAGGATATCAACAGCCTGAAGTCAGTGAACACGCTCACTCAAATGGGAGTGCAAGACTCACACCAGGATGGAATTTATTCCAGTAACAAAAGATGTATTGGTAATATGCAGTAAAAAAACCTCATCTGGTTGTGGCCAGAGGTATTTGTATTCAGTTCTATTCTAATTTTTTTTATACCTTATTTACAGTGCTGGTACACAAGCCAAGCATTTGTCCAATGTCCTTTCAAATGAGAGAAAATGCTTCAAAAAATCTAAATCAAACTTCCATAAAGAAATATTAATAATTCTATTTGCAGTTTGTACAATCAGGTTCTGTTTTCTGTTTATACAACTTGTTACTTTTTATCCCCCCTGAGGTGAACTTGCTCAATATTGAGTTTAAAGTAATTATGCTTACTCACAGTCCATTTGTTTGTAGCGGTGAAAAATCAAGGCACTTTTTGCTTTATCAACATCCACGCTTAGATATTCTACAAGGCTCCTGCCAAATTTGTGTACTCTAAATGCACCATTTTTAGGACCTGCTCCATATATGTAATCCTCAAAAACGTCAATTCTATGTGGATGCAGTAAACCTTAAATAAAAATGAATAATAAATACATATTCATAATATTCAAATAATAAACAACCCAGTTTTAATAAAAACTTAAATCCCATTATTGCAATTACCACCTAAAGTCATTATTATTCAGACAGCTTGTTTTGTACTCACAAAGATTGCCTTTAAAAAAAGCAATCTTCTTTAAAGGAACTCTTCCCATACTGCAAGCAACTCGTATCTCAAGCTTCGTATTAGCTTTCCACACAATTCAGCATCAGAAACTGGTTGATTATTGAAAAGCAGGGAAACCCTGCAGTAACAACTAGCTAATTAGAACATACTTAGGTACAACACTTAAACTAGAAGTACGTGACAAGGAGGAAACATATTCTTTTGCTATACATAAAAGAAACTCTTCTGATGAAACACTTCTTAGCTCCTTCTTAACATATTCGAAATGCTAGCTTTCATACGACACTTATTTTAATTCATGGTTATATTAATGCAAAATAAAATGTTCAGACACTACCAATTCCTCATTTTTAAGATCCACGAGTGCCAATTAGATCACCTAGTTGGATTTCCTATCTACCACTGGCTGTAGAATTTCACATTTACCCATGTAATAACGCAATTGCTTCTGACTAAAAGTCCTTTGCCAGAGACGCATGTCTTCTTGATTTGAAGCCATAAAGAAACAGAATCTATCATTCCTTGTGATACCTTATTTCCACTATTATCCCCATTTACTGTAAAAATGGTTTTATATTTCACTTGTATTTCTTTAGTTTCAATGATCAGCCTTTATTTGTTCCACTGCTTTTCCACTCTATCAGTAGTTGGTACTCAGTATTTTATTTTAATAAAAATATTTGTAAATTCTAATGCATTATTTTATGCTTGTTTAATTAAATGGGTTGAAGTTTTCAGTCTAATTGCAAAGCAATTTCTAAACTACCCCAATTTTCCTTTGGTCCTATTTCTCTAATTTTTCCGTAGTTACTACAAATGTCAACAGGAGACAAAAGGTGACATTGCTTTAGCAATCTTGTATTTCAGTATTAATTGCTACGTACAGAAACAAAAAAGTCTCTGCATTCCACCTTCCCCCTTATAAACCCCGAATTTGCTGCATTTGGCACAGTGTAGTATAGCCCTTCCTAATATCTTCCAGAACTCCCTGGTGAATTCCAGATCATTTCTTAAAACACTCAGTAGCACTAGATGTAATATCATCCTGATGAAACTCCACTACCAACTGCCCAGTAAGCAATCTTCCCAAAAAGTCTGCTTCCAAATTTTCAATTTTTTTTATGTTTCTTCTCTTTTCTACTCAAATTTAATAAATTGCTACATATATTATCAAATTGTTAAAAAGCCAACATGCGATTCTACAATGCAAAGTTTGCTTAACCAGAATTTCTTTTCTTATGAAAGGAACCTTCTCATTCACATTCTGTCAGCAGAATTCGGTGACTACTTACTGACCCGAAAGCCAAACCCATTATTTTTCCCAGAACAGATTCAGGTCAACTGTTCTATAAACTATACAACTCCTGTGCAATGCAGACAGCTCTAATTTCTAACTAGTCAAGGTCCTCCTGTTGCTACGTAAGTCCAAGTGACTGAGGAATAAATATTAATCCCAATGTTATTTGACAATACCTGAGCTAATGATTAGATAACAAACTTGAGATTTTATCTAACAAAAGCAGTGAATATTACTTTATAATCACTGCTTTTTGCTTACATAGTTTTTCTGAATAGTGAAACTTCAGACAAATAAAATAAAATAGAAATCATCTTATATAAAAGTTCTCCATACCTTGTTTAGTGCTCACAGACACAACTGAGTCAGAACCATCAAAAAGAACGCTGCCAATAATAGATAATTCAAAATCAGCCCAGAACAAACGCTGACTGAACTGATCAACTACGAGACCTACAAAGAAAATAAAGTTAAAATAAGTATATAAAACCTGAAAAAAATTACTATTTTTATGTAACTACATTTTTATATTGTTCGTATTGTTGTGAACAGAAAATATGGTGACAATGGAAAAACACGACTGGACACCAAGAAGAATAAAATATAACACCTTCTGCTTAAACCTTCCTCTTGAGGCAACCATCGTTTTTTCTTTCTTTAACTTACTCTTCCAAGGTCAGTACCTTTTCAAACCCATTATCCTCAGCAGGTAGGAATATATACCAGGTGGGAATTAAATATAGAATCTAATCCTGTAATTTGTGCTACCAACAAAAAAATCTATTACGCCATTAGATTTCTAAGCAGTAGTACCAGTGTGACCACGTTACAAACAAGACATTCAGATTTCATAGTCTTCCTAACCTATCCTGTTTCCACAAGTATATAATTGTGTTCTTTCATTATCACCAATACTTCACTTGCAGTAATTATTACATAATTAAAAGTCAGACTATTTTAATCACATTAGTTCTGAAAGACTGAAACAGCAATATTGACAGATGTACATATTCATACATACATGAAAAGAAAGCGTAAGAGTGAGTGACTGAGAGCACAAATGAGAATAAACGACAGATAACATCACGACAACCCAGCCTCTAGGCAATAACTAAATAGTTAAGCAGTCCATGTTTCATAGAGGATGATTACATGATTAATATGTTATTTCAGGTCATGTCAAAAGATTCAGCCTGAAAAAACCTTTGAACCATAAAAGAATTTAATTCTGAGCTTTTGAAGTTGTAGTGTATTTTTAATCAGAATGAGAAAAAGTATTTTTCTTCCTATTTATGTAAGTAGGTAAGTCAGAAAAAATACATCAAAAGAAATTATACATAACAGCCAAAATACTCCTCTTATGGTCATAAATTAATCAGCTACAGAGAGATGAGAGGAAGCGGAGGAAGTCTGACGCATAGACCAGTGAAATATGTTTACATTTGCAACTCCATTAAATAAAAACCTATTGAAAAGAAACACTGGTATTCAGGCATTTCCCTAAAGAGAATCTTTTCTTGTAAAAGACAATCACACTCTGTGTGATACTTGGTACCTGTAAGGGGCAGTATTTTAGAAGGAGTCCTCACTCTCAGCTTTAAATTATTCTTTGCATTTTAATAAGACTATTTAAATAATAAATAACATTCTCAGTGTATCTTTCACTGTATCAGAGATAACACAATGTAAATAAGTACTTATTTTTGGTTTATACAGGTAGCATTCCAGTGACAGCCATTTTCACATAAATCTTGTGAAGTCAAACCCAAATGCTAAAACTTTCACTTTCTCTTACTTAAGAGGCATATTTAGTAATAAATTTGAGAGCAGTGTAACACAGATGTTTAGTAAAATGTTACCCTTCATCTAAACCGTAGTAGTAAAGTCTCATTTGGGAGGAAATATTAAAAGCTCGGACTCCTTCTTTGTATTCCCTCTACAAAGATATGGATCTGTTTGAAATACCTGAGCAAAAATTAAAAGATTCCGTAAACGTCTGCTTTCTACCATGAAGTTAAGGAAGAAAAGCACAAAAGGACGCCACACAAGTGTTTTCAGCCAGTAGGTATAGGAAAATGCAATAGTCTGGCAAGGCATTAGTGAAATTTCCTCTTTGCAAAGTCTGCTCATTTCTGGGAATTCTGCTAATTTTCTTAATTTACATTTTATTCATCCTTGTAAGGAGATAGAGCTCTGGTTAAATGCTTATATGAAACTTTGCTATATAAAATACACCAAGGAAAATTTTATGAAGAAAAGCTCTTGCAAAATTCAATAAATTCACTAATCCAATACTGAGGGCCAAAAAAGGGGGCTTTAAATGCCCTTTAATGATGAAGGAAGTAGTGACTGGTTCTGCAGGATGTTACCTTGGCCATCAACCAGACTGACAATAAGAGACAGAAAATCACAATTCCAGCAATTCAAACTAAATCTAATGATTTGTGTATCCGATATGTTCATAATGTTCTACAGAAGAAATTCAGCAAAGAATACCTAACAACATAAAATTGTGCTTTCAGTCTGAATAATCAGAAGCTTCTTACTGAATTTACTACTGACTATGTATTTTTTATTAGTATTACCACTGTGTGTCTTCCTTACCTAGGGAGCATAAGCTTCCTCTCCTCAAAGCTTTCCTTATCACATATGTAATTTCTGAAGTTACTATAACTCAGTCTAATCATGTCAATAGAGTGTTTCCTTTAAGCGACGAGTGTAATTTGTATATGCAACACCATAAGCCCGACTTAGCACTGGACTTCACAGCCTGTTAAAATATTATTACTTGTTGTAAGTGGCAGCTTCTGAGGTGCTTAGATATTCAGATAGCATCCTCTTGAAAGAAGCCCGTGTTTCAATAGATATGTGTACCAAAGTTGGACAACCCCTAATTTGCAATGCAATAATAACAAATCATCATTGTAAGCCTGGAGAAACATCAGATATTGCATGAGAAAATGGGTCATGAACAAATCATTTGTGATTTCAAGACAGGATGCTGCTATTTGAGAGGCACACACTTCATTCTGGATTTATCATTTCCTTTGTCGTAAAAATTACTTTTATCCTTCCAATGGAGTCGGAATGGTAATTCACAAGATATCAATATGTACTGTCAAGCTTCAATATAGTTCTGCGAAACACTGAAATAATTAAGTTGTTGCTTCTTTGAATACCTAAACCTTGTTTTATCCTATTTTGCAGTGTAACCAGAATAGGCTGTGAGACTTCCTATGCATTCTTAAAAAATGTGTCTCACTACTAACTGGTGTTCCTTAATTGATTTCGCTTGTTCAGTGTTATTGAACAAATCATATTTTAACTGATTATATATAGCCCTTTGTAATGCTTTGTAAAATCATCATGTTAAGCTCCGTTACAAAAGTTTAAGGCATATTAAGATGTATCATTTGAAAACAGAACTAAGAATTTGATTAGTAACTGCATATGAACAGCCAGAACACATATTTTTAAAAGGTGGTGTTTTTTTCTTGTTTTTTTGTTTTGGTTTTTTTTTTTCTTGTGCAAACTGAGAGACTGGAATTCAGCCAACATATCTACACTGAGTTAGCAAGTGCCATGTAATTAGGAAAAATGGATAACCTGCATACCTGTAGGTCTTTGTAAATTCTTCTGAACCAATATCCGTCTCAGAGTACCATCCATAGACGATTCCTCTATGTGAGAGCGATCCCCAATAACTGTCCAGTACATCATCCTAAAAATATTACACATAAAAAAATAAGCGAGATGCCTATACAGAACCTCAAACCACTTCACTGACATGAAATTATTATGAGCTTTTCAACCTACCTGAAAGATGTGAGATAACTGATCCTGATTTACATACAAGTAAATTGAGCAGGAAAGTAAATGACTTGGAAAAATTTAGACATTTGTAGACATCATTCTATTTCTCTTACTGTACTTCACATTTTTGTTTAAATTACCAAAATAATGTTGAAACATACATACCCCCTTTTAGGATTTACAGCAATCGCATATGGTTCTCCTGCCATGCTCGTAAGGAGTCGTGTACAGTTTGGTCCATTCAATTGACCTACATTGATGGAGTATCTCAGACTAGTCCAATGAGTTGTATAGTAGCTGAACCAATGCATTCTGGAATGATCAGTCCAGTAAATATTTCCAGCAACCCAGTCAACAGCAATGCCCCTAGGTCTTTTGAATTCTGGACACTGAAAGGAACAGATGTTAAAGTCAGATTTATGGAAATGATCTTTCACAGCAGCTGCATAGTCACAGATTTATGTAACTTTTTACAGTTAAGTAACTTTTACCTTTAATATGATGAAATATTTAAAAATACAGCATTGGAGAGACATAAATTCCACCTGTGGGAGAAGCTCTAAGCAATCTGCTGACAGTTCTATTTAATGCAGAAGAACAAGTCAATGGTTCAAAACTGTTTCCCCAAGTCTAAGGCTACCCACATTAAGAAAAAGGCACTTAGGCATGAACTACTTGAACTATCAATGCTGAAGCAAATAAATATTATATCCTGTAATTCGAAAGGAAAGGAAAAAGAAGAATTAGGATTATACATCTATTACACTCCATGCAGAACTATGGTACGATGTCCCATCCGAAAGCCCTCAGTGAAAATGGTGCTTGTGACCATCCTGAGGTACGGCTGCTCAGCAGTCTGCCAAAGATAAATAAAACCACTGCATTTAGGAAAGAGCATAAAGTTACCTCTATGTTCTGTCCAATACTAGTATGCAATTGTAAAGAAATTTTTTAAATGTTTCTGTTCCCTTGTTGTTAAATGTTTCTGTGTTCCACCTCCAACTAAAACTAGAGTTAGGGCAACATTCAGCGTCAGATGTAAAAGAGACTTGACTGATCGTAACTTGAAAATTACAAACTGCAGTGTCTCTGCCATAATTTCACAGTTATCACTAAGGCCTAGATCCTAAAAAAACATTCCTAAGAATAGAAGCTTGTGTTGCAAATAGGAGATGTATATGAAAAAGTTTCTCCGAAGTTTACTAGAACTCCTGTAGAGAGGAGTAAAATCTGCAAAATACATCTACCCAACTATTTAAAATATGAATGCAGCATATAATAAAAAATTCAAGACCCACGTGAGCTAAATACATATGCAATTGTTTGCCTGTTTACCTATAATGACATCAAGTTAAACTATGAACAAAAAATTATTCCTTGACAAATGCATTAATGGAATAATACCAAGGTATGTAATTAAAAATCACAGAAGAAAAACCCTAAAACAACTTGCTTTCCTCAGATGTCAGTGTTCCCTAATACCAGAAGACATCTGTAGACTATTTTCATCATAAAATAAAGGTCATTTCATTCTCTAGGTGAAATAGTAGGACTGCAAGGGTGAATTTAGATGGTTCATTGTTCATAAACCTTTAATTCTGCAAAAATGTCATAGAATGCATGTTCTAAAGATATACAGAACCCTGACTTTCTATTTACATGAGTATTAAAGCAGCAAAATCAATCACTGCATTTAGAAAACAGTATTTCTTTAAAATCCTGGTCACCGTGATATATTTTTTTTAATTAAACAAAATAAAGTATCATAATTCTTTGTTATGAAACAATGACACTGGCAGCATTTGCTTCCAGAAATACCACCAAAATAAACTATTTTCTTTTCAAGAAATGTAGCTTTTGCATGCAACAAGCTCTTTTTTTCTTTGTTACATTATCCAGGTAACATTCATGTAAAGGACAAGATAGCCAAAAATGTGGATATTTGTACGCAAGTGTCATTGTATTTTTAATACAAACTCCTTTTAATCCTGGGTAATATTCAGGCACCAGTGTCAAGAGGCCTCTCATAGCTGGAGATCTCTAGTTACTACTTTGGATGCTGCAAGGGTTAATGGCATTGGCCTCCAAGGCTGGAACCAAATATTCTTTTACAAGGAGAGCAGCTATCATGGACAGCACAGCCCCTTGCCTTTCTTTGGGCTGTTCAAGAACCACCATTTACAGTAAGATGGTTTTTTTCGGAACCTGGTAAGCCCATGATGGGAGTTATCATGCAGAGAAATGGTTCCCAAAAAGCTGGTAGGAGAAGCAGACGAGACAAGGGACATCGTAAAAAGATTCCGGAACAAGGTTGGTTGCTTACTAACACTGACCCTTTCTCTTTCTTCTCAACTATACAGGAGAGGTGAAATTTCAGTATATTGTACATATTAAAGACCAAATGAACAAGGAGATAACCAGAAGAAACAGAAAGCGGCCATCTGGTGTAAGAGATTAAAAAAAGAGAATAAAAAAACACTATCTGATGCTATGTAATGGCTGTGTAATTCTCAGTTGTGTTCATTAAGTTTCAGCCTAGCTACATAATATTTCTGATGTCTTATACATCTTCTCATACTGTCTAGGAAAATTACTTACTGTAAATGAGCTTTTACCTAATAGCTTCTTTGGATTATGTTAATTTTGAAGAACGATTTTGCATACAGAATAAGGATGAAAATACAGGAACAAAATCACATTAATATTTTGTACAGTTATTTGAGCCCCCTTTGATGTTAAATATAATGTACTACAACTTATTAGAAAAATAGGGGTTTGAAGGCTAATCGCATTTTATAGTATGGCAGCGTCTGCACAAATACAGAACAAGTCAGCTTGACGACTTTTGATCAGAACTGCTGCCTATCATCAAACCTTTTTTAAAGGTAAAGAATTTAAAAAAAAAGAAAAAAAGAATAAAAAAAGCTGCAGTAACATCTTGGATTTGGAAATCATTGTGATATAACGGTAGATTACAAAAAGAATTTTTAATGCCTAAAGTAGAGTTTGACTGGAAAAAATATGTTACACGTGCAGCAGGAGCCCATCACCTTGCAAGGCTTAGCATTTTAACAGAGGAAGACTAAATTACAGATCTAACTTATATCATGAGCACATGTGAAACTATTTTCTCTATTCACTTTACATATGATTTTGGTATGGCATTGCTGTGGAATGAAGTAAACCAATGATTTATTGTTGCTTAAATTATCTTCATTAAAAATAATACATTACCTAGTGATATATTATTAGAACAGTAAAAAACAAATGAGAAACAATAATACTAGAAAATTTATGGACTTTTACTCTCTAAACAGAATTTTTCTTGACAGATGAGCAGCCCTGTAGGTGTAATGGTTCACCAAGTCACCATTCGTATTACCTAAGTAGAATCATTAAAAATCCCAACCAGAGGATTCTAGAAAGAAAGAGTCTCCTAAGTACATAGACTTCATCCACACAGAGTTATAGCTTTAAGGTAAAGCCATAAGCTAATACTATTTAGACAAAACAGTGTAGAATTGGTTTCCATTCACAGGGATGCACTGAATTTCACTGGGCCCTGGGGTAAAACCTGGGAGTATATACACGGATGTATCCCAAGAGTGGTTAAGGGTCTTTTTTAAGCTCTCAGAACAGTGGGGCTGGAGCAAGCTGCTAATATACTGACTGGATACATTACAAACCCTAAGTTTTTCTTCCTGTTACATGGTACAAATATTTTTATGTTCAGCTTTGCATCCTCTTCCATGAAAAACAGCACTTGAGCTGCAGTGGCAAGTCACTCCATGTGGAATATTCACCTCGGGTAACTCATACATCGCTCTCCAAGGATTATGCCAGTAAACAGCTGCCCCAGTTATCACCAATTCACTTACACCGTCTTAACTGCATTGGAATGCAATCCTCTTCCGCATCTGCCAATAAACTCTGAAGAGTTGATATTTACTATTTCCTTTAATGCTTCAATTTGCACCAAGCTTAAACCCCTTTTCACAGAAAAATATAGGAGATACTTAATGCTGTCCTCTGAGGAAGGCTCTTGAAATGCTGGAGCAATTTCAAGTTGAGATGGATTTTTGCATTAATGTAATTACCTGAAAATGCAGGTGACTTTGTTCAAGTTTACTGTCCTGATTTACATATCAAAGTCTAGATATAAAAGTTATAATGCAACCTTTGAAAACTTATCCATTAAAAACCTTGGGCTAAAATTAAGGAATTCTTACGCTTTTCAAACACAAATTTAAGTGAGAATATTAAAGCAACACTATAAACCCTATTAACCTACTGATCAGTTATATACAAAGCAATAATATTTGAGTATTAATGAGATATTACTGGGAAAATATTCTGAATAGGTTAGCACAATGAGAATTAAATGCTTCACAAATATAAATGAAATGTGTCCAAAGACATACTCAGATACAGTCTGTGCATTTTCCACATACAGATTTGTAAAAAAGATTTTTATATCTTGGATCAAGCATCTTCACGAACACCTACCTGCTGAAGAGACACAGGTAAATGGTGTATAAAGAAAAACTTTTTTTTTTTCCTAATAATTTTGAATTAGGAGGAAGTGACTAGAAAGCATTCTTGCATAATGATGAAACAGGGATACAAAAAGCAAAAAGTATATCAGTACTTCAGAAAAATAATAGTAATTCTGAGAACATTTTATCTTTATTAATGTAAACAGGGAAACAATGTCAAATCAGCTCTGAAAGTTTCAACCCCTGGACTGTGAAGAAGTCTCAAGGAAGCTTATGTTCCATTTTAAGGAACTATAAGAAAGTACAGATCCATTAGAGAGGTTGTAGGTCAGCAGACTACACTTATCTGTGCAGAAGGCATCCGCATATTAAATAAAAATAAATAAACAACAACAAAAAAACCCTAATACTTTAATTTCACAAGACTTTACAAGTTTGTTATTTTCTAATAAGGAACTCGATACAGAGATGAGTGTATCAAGATTTTTTAGGCACACGTATGTGCTACATTTAAATAGGAAAAACATCACATCTTCAGTACGTACTTAGGTTCTCAAAGTATCCTTCCTCACAACATAAATGATGTACCTGACCTACTAGAAATGCTAGGAATAACTTTCTACTTTCGATCTACTTTAAATACACTTTCTGTAAACAAAATCTAGACTCTCTTCTGCTGGGCAGACCCAAGTGCTTTTTAACCACTCTTCCCATCTATATGCCATCACAGACACGAGGTATCCTCACTGTCCATTGGTGTCTACGTCCCCAGGCTTTTGGCCCTGCTGGCCTCACAGGGTCAGGAATGTCATTCGTTTGTAAAGGAAATATCTTTAGATGAAAGGTACTTAGAAATGGTTTCAGATATGTAAGAGCTGAATGATAGATGAAAGATTAGTCTACTGTTGCTACTTATTCCACTGGGTATATAAAAGCACTCATGTGAGGTAAGGTCATTCCTGTTACCTCTCCTAAGTTTAAGGGAACAGCCAGACAGGTGTTATTTTAACCTGCTTTATTACTGGCCAAGAAAAAAATCAAAACCTCTTTTCTGCCATCACATTTAATAAAAAACCCCAACAAACCAAAACAAAACAAAAATGAAAAAATCTAAATTTACAGTGTTATAGAAGCACCAATGTAAAGACCATATTGTTATCTTCAGTTCAGCACTAATATTTCCTTGAGAATTTTGTAGAAACATATTAGGCAAAAGGAGTATCAATCTGCATTTATTTTATTTTCAAGTAAAAACCACTTGAAATTACCCTAGGTTATAAAAATCCACATTTTTCTTGTAAAGCGCAAAATTACATTTATGCTTATTAAAAATCAGCTACTACATAGTTCAACATATAAGGGAATAAATACTCATTGTTCTAATTTTTAAATCTTTGTCATAGCCTTGCTAATATTGTTTACCTGGTCATTACAGAAATCAGGCCTGTCTTTGGCCTATCTGTCTTCCAAGTATTTGAAGTCCATGCCTTTCTTTAGACCATGTATTGTTTATATATGCTTATTATATCCTCTTCTTTTCTCTTAAAATAAAAAAAGTCTTCAGGGTACACAGTCTTTCCAAGCCTCTGACATACTGGTTATTTCTCTGTAGAAAACTTTTTCAAATAGCTCATAGAGACTCATCCAAGTCTGACAGAGTCTTGAATGGAAACATACAGTAGACATACATACCATTTGAATAAAATCATTATCAGGTAGAAGCTTTAATTTACTAAATCAGGACATTATAGGCAATCAGAATAAAAAAGTACACAGAACAAAATTTTTAGCATGTAAACTTTGATTTTGATCACTTACTATCAAGCCACTGTTACTTTGTCTTCTCTCTCTGTCGTGAAGTTTTCTGTAGAAAATCCCTCCTGGATTAAATTGAGTACTCCAAACAATCATGTCCCCTTGAAAAAACGCATCTATTCCAGTTATCCTTGAATTATGTTCAGTATGTGATATTTGCTGATGAACATCACTGTAGTTGAATGGATATGCAAAACCCAGGATGTCAGTGTCATTAGCAACATAGAGAACTTGATCTTCAGAGCCTAGGGATTATTATAATGAAACAAAAATAAGGTAAATGTCAACTAATGCAAAAATCAGTGGTTTTCACTCAAGTAGCTTTCTGGTGTTTATCTGATATAATTTCTTATGTTAAAATGATTTTCTGATTGTTGAAGACTGCAAAAACACTCACACTCTGGGCAATAAAAGAAACTCTTCATACTCTGATGCCAATATATATTACGTCAATGCTCTCCAAGCTCATATTGTGGCACTTAAGATTATATTTTAAGGAGTATGTAATATAAGATTTTGCACTCTTTAAGCAGTATACAAAAATAGGGGACATTATGCATTAAGCCCAGATGAATCACTACATATTTTTATATGCATGTTGTGTCTAGAGGGTCCTAAACATATAAAGGAACACAGACTATGATTTTAAATTGCTTAACTGGAATCACAGAATGGTTTGGGTTGGAAGGGACCTTAGAGATCCACCTACCCTGCTATGGGCAGGGACACCTCCCACTAGCCCAGGTTGCCCAAAGCCTCATCCAGCCTGGCCTTGAACCCCTCCAGGGATGGGGCATCCACAGCTTCTCTGGGCAACCTGGGCCACTGCCTCACCACCCGCACAGGAAAGAATTTCTTTCTAATGTTTAGTCTAAATCTGCCCTCTTCCAATTTAAAGTTACAAGTTAGAAGTGGAAATTAGAAGTGGAATAATCCTATCTTTAGTGAAAGCAGTGAAGTCTTGAATTTGACTGCAACATGAGCAAACTGGACCAAAGCTGCTACAGAACATGTGCAGTTGTACCTGATATGTAATTTCAGATAGTTAAGATCTACAGATACCTGTGAATGGGTATACCTTGTTTCCATCTTCATTCAGATTTGTAAAATACGTTATTCATAAGAAACTGTTCTCTGGTATCTATTCAGTAAGTTTTGAGAAAGTTTCCAATTTGCTCGATACATTAGGATGCACTTGCCATTTTTTAGATTTCTAATTTATATCACATTTATCCATAAAGAAACAGCTTATAGTGTCTCCTCAATACATTTCCTCCTTATGAATATGAAATACCAAAAATAATTTATTGCCTTTTGCTAAATACAACAATAGAAGAATTCCATTAAAGCAAGTATCAATGAGGGAGAGAGGGAGTCATTAATTGCATTACAATGGCAATGAAGTTTGTGAAAAATTCAGATGTAGGGTAACGATTCTCAAATTTCTAAATTACAAGCCCTCAGAATTGTGTTTGTGTTTCTATAATAACAAGTCACTATCCACAATTAGTAACCTTGTTTGTTCCCATGTCATAATCTGACTGCTTCTTCAGTAATAGGTAATGATGCTAAGTCCTGATAGAATCCCTGTTATGTATAGAGAAAATGGTTCAAAAGTCACATGATACCCAGACTTAACTATTACCTCCATTTTATGCAATACCTCTCCCTTATGAAAGACACAACAAACATCTATGTGTGCATATTACTTTATCTTCGCCAGACTATGACCTAGGCAGCTGACTTACATGAGGAGTATATTCTTAGGTGACTCTACTTAGAACATCTCCACTTATATGTCATTTAAGATTTCTCAACAAGACAAAGGAAAACATGTTATCTCCAAATGATACTTAATTTATTCCTAAAGATCTAAAACATGTTTCTATGAAAGAGTTGATTCTTCTTTATCTTCTAAAGCTTCACCAGAATGCTTACATGCTTTTTAATACATAATCTTTGTTTTTCTCATTTGTGTTCTTTTTGTAAATAGAGAAAGCTGGAGCTGGAAATGTATTTTCATATTAAGTATGTTCATTTACATGGAAGTGACAAGAATGTATGTACTGCTTACCGAACTGAAAGGTAAATCTGAGCGGTTTTGAGAATTATTTCTGTGCACTATTCAAAAAAAATATTTATCTAAAAATAAATTGTATATGCAACACATTAGTGTTACCAACCACGTACCTAACAAATGACTTAGAACTGTCAATCTATTTGATTTTTATAGCCTTACCTTTTGCTATGCAACTGTTATTCTTCTCCTTATAATTTTTCTCGCATGCACATTTGTATGATCCCTTAATATTATTGCAGTGTTGGGAGCAGGCACCAAATACCATACACTCATTGATATCTGTGAGGAAAAGAATTGGAATTTATATACCTATAGTTTAATACACTATTATTTGACATGTTTGGAACATGACGTAATAAAGCAGATGAACAAAAGGAACAGTAAAAGGAAGCCTTCTGCAATTATCACGAATGTTATTTCTGCTGCAATTAGTGTATCTCAGAAAGGCATTTTGTATTATTTCTCCATCCTTCTTATATCAACTTACTATCATTGGAGTTTGAAAGCAACTTTGAGAATGAAAATGTCTGTTACATCTCCAACATAACTATCTCTGTTACAGTCAAAACTACATGATCACCCCTTAGTGGAAAACCTCCGGCGTACACCTTTAACTTAGACCCAAACAAGGAAGTTTTTGTATGCAAGTATCTATTCACCTGGATAGTCCCACTGGGGTGATCATCAGTTTTTATGTAAGTTACTGCTCACCAGTAAGAAAACGAATTCAGGACCCATTCTTTGGAAAGGTAGATTTATCTTATCTTTTTGATCAACTCTTTCTGAGTAGTGTGGCATCATATGTATTAAGACTACCTTTTCTAAGGTATTTTACTTTCAATCTCTTTATTTTCATTTCAATTTTCAGTTTTATGCATCTTCATTATTTTAAGCATCGGAACAGCCTAATTTACCAATTTAAACAGCAATCCCAGTTGCTCAGTTAAATAATCTACTAGACCTTAAATCACCCATTTACCCTTTAAATGATAAAATTATTTAATGGCCTGACTTGAACCCTTCAACATTCACGACCAAAGTTAATCTTTGCTAACCTCTCCAGGTAGAATGCATAAACCTACATCCTGTAAATCCTTTCAGTTTCTTTTCTTGATTTCTTAATCCCATAGCTATGCAACAGTTTTTACTCAGTGAAAAAAAGTATGTGATATGTATCTCCTTCTCCAGCATAGAAAATTGACCACGCAGGTAATGTTTAATACTTTACAGCAAGGGATGATGGAAAAGATCTCCACCTTCACATTGTCTATTCCTCTTGTTTCTCTGAAATCCAGGTTTACACTGACACAGTAGTGATGTTTTTGTTTGATTACAGTATGCATCATCTCCACAAGGATTCACGTTATCTTCACATGTATATTCAGCGACACCTAAACATAAACAAAATGTCTAAAAAACCACTGAGAAATTGGTTTAAACTTAAAAATGAGATGGAAAATAACAACAACAAATAACAAATTTATCTTTCTGTTAAATGAGTATCAGGTGAATTTTAAACAAATATCTGACATTACAGTATTTACCTGCATATGCATATAAACCGACAGAATTCAATAGAGGTACTTCAATTCACATCAAGAGTTTTATACTAAAATCTATCTTGTTGCAGATATGAAATAAAATGCAATCAACTTAAAAGCAAAACTACTTCAAAAACTCAAGAACTACTCTAAAAACTACTGCAACCTGAATAGCTATAAAATTTGCCTTCCTCTTGTGGTATGTCAAACAGAATTAACTCTTTTTTTAACTAAAAAATTAACATTAATTAAATTCTGTGTTGTTGAGTAGGTTTTGCATGGATGAAAGTCTCAGTTAATTATTTCTTTTTTGCTACAATCATGGAAACGTATCTTGTCAGCCAAACTTACTTATTTTGCAGTCTTGCTCATCTGAACCATCTCCACAGTCATCAAACCAATCGCACTGTAGCTCCATCGGAATACATTTCTTATCATTACAAGCAAACTCATCTTTTTTACATGGTCTTGCTTTATATGTGATTTTATCTATATAATTACAAATTAATAAGAGAAAAATAAACCTGTATTTAGGATTCTTAGATTATTTTAGACACATACAAATGGGAATGACCATCAAGCATTAAGCAACTGGAAATTATTCAAAGCTTAATTTCTTTCAGTTCAAATTCTGATCTACTAACCTCCAGTTAAGCTTTACTGAAGGACAAGCAGATCTCTGTAACAAACTTTGCCTTCAAGTTGTTTTCTTTGATCTGAATGCCTTGAAAGGTAATATCACCTACCGCAGTGCTCTTCATCGGAGTTATCACCACAGTCATCAACCTCATTGCAAATCTGCTCAGGTCGCAGACAAACCCTGTTGTTTCTACATCTGTACGGCCTTGTTGGAGGGCATGGAAACTTTACTGTATATTAAAAAAAAAAAAAAAAAAACATAACCAGCTATTAACCACCTAGTATTCCTGAACTTTGTTTAATCTCTCCTTATCAAAGCAATAAGCAGGCATGGGAACACAGTTACACTTGACATACGAATGGTACTTGATTTTAACATTCAGTAACTAATGGAATAACACTTGAACACTCTTTACAGTATATGTTTTTCATTTAGGGAATTAAATTATTTTGTGTGATAAGTGTAATTACACTTTCTTTTTGAGAATGAGTAAACATGCCAGAAATAAAACAAAGGAAGTAATATATTTAATTACTATCAATATTTCAGTGTAGAAGTAACATTCTCCCATCTGTGCATTTCCAACAAAAAAAAGATTAATTTTTCACAAATCTCTTATCTGAAATTACGTAAATAGCAATAACAATATTGCTAACAATAACAGAACACTATATCCCACATTTCAAGCTAATCTTTTAACAGTCAAAGAAGGCCTAGACACGTATGTCCTTTTATATTTATGTATATTACACGTCATTTCTTGCTTTACTACATGAAAAGTGCTGAAAAACTTAACGTCATACCACACATTTCAGCAACTTCATCAGAGTTATCTCCACAGTCATCCTCACCATCACAAACCCAAAAATGCAGTTTGCAGAGGGAATTGTTGCATAAAAATTCATCATCTCTACATATATTTCCTCCTGGAAGGATGAAAAGATGACAGAAAAAAAACCCCAGGAAAACAGAAAGACAAAAGAAAGAATGTCAATTCTTGATAAAACCAGTACAACCACTTATCACCTACTATCTGCAGAGAACGACACACGTAACATAACTAAATGAACAAATCCCAAATGAAAGAGTTGGAGAGGCAGAGACGAATACCAATTTAAAAACGTCTTGCTTGACCATACACCTCTTTCACTTTCTTTTCATGACTATTAGCTAGGAATTGCCTATTCGGCCTGACTTGTAAGGGCAGTTATCAAAGACAGACACTGAGAACTCACTAGTGGCATGTTCCACTTGCATTTACAGATGCTTAAACTATCTTTCTGTCTGTGACCTCCTTTGGTGATGCTGCCTTGCAGAAAAGACCTGGCTGTGTACATCAGTAAGTTGTGCTATCAGAGAACGGTACAAACCAGACGACGGAAATATCGTCAGGTTTGTGAAAGACCTCTTCAGTCCAGGTTTGTTTCACATGAATGTCTGATCCTCCACCTCTTCCTGCTCCCACTCTCTGAGCCACACGTTGTCTTCAGAAGGGACAAAGCGATTGCAGTCCCTTAGCCATGAGGTAGCAGCTTGTTTTTCTGCTGAGGAGTAACAGGCTTGGCCGGGCTTGTAACGCCCCCATCAACCCTGTAACTAGGGAAGATCTACCCAGGTAGGCCCAGAGTAGTTAAGACTAGTTGACCTCTAACAGTCTCTTCCTTTTTGTAACTTCTGAAACTTCTCATTAGGACATGTACTGAACACAGATGCAGCACGAATAAATTCTTCCATGCAACTTAAGTATTGATTGAACACTGAATCATCTAACAAAATGGAACAGAGGACAAGAGAAAATGTTTTAAAAGCTGGGATGCTCAAGCTTTAAAAATTGGTTCAAGTTGGATTTAGTTTTAACACATGTAGCAGCAGGAAGGCATTGTGTTTAAAATCATGACTAAATTTTACCACTACCAATCGATGAAGTCATGAAAACTTCTTGAAATTAATTCTCTCTCCTGAGAGAAGCAGAGTATAAAAGAAATAAAGGTGTGTACCTTCAGAGGAGGAAACAATGAAATTTTATATGGTAACACCAAAACTCTCACTTACCTCAATGCATTACACCCATCCTAACAGTTAGATCAGGCTCCATTGGCTTTTTACTTATTCCTTCTGTGCCCTGTTCACACTCCATTAAAACCATCAAAAGGCTTTCTTTTGCTATAAAGGGTTCAGTTTTTCTTGAGAAAATTAATTTGCATGAAATATCCACCATGTATGAGGAAGTTGGGAACTTTCACACTACGTTACCAAATATAATTCACTCCCATTGCAAATATCACTAGTGAACATTAACAGAAATATTCTTTGCTACCATCCAAGGAAAAATATATAAAATTCAAGTATTTTTCATAATGAAAGACATGAATATAAATAATTGTGTGTGTAATCACAATAAAACCATAATTCTAGTTGTATAAGATTGAAAAGAGCTATGCTTATAAATATGCACAGTGGGTTACAGATAAATATTGCGGAGATAGCTTTAGAATGCTACAGAATAAAACTCCATTTGTTTTTGCTGTATTTGCAAAGAGGAAAAAAAATCAGTTTTCACTGAGATAAACTGGCATTTGTTTCCTGTGATTGCTCTGCCTGTCATAATTCCTTTATAGAACAGATTTCTATAACAGAAATCATAATTGTGACATAAATACAAAGTATTATAGCAATAACCAACTAGGCAAGAGGCTTCTTATTACATTTTAAGCAATTTGCAGTCCACAGAAGCTCAATTACGCTACCCAAAGAATAATGTGGGCTTCAGATAAAATAAGTGCGCTGCTACTTACTTACACTTCATTGGTTTTTAGAGAGATACAGTCCAGATATTTTAAGAGCAGTTTTAAAACTGGACTAGAAGTTTTTGAAAACTTTATTATTTCAGTCTTCTTAAAACAATTCATTCTTCAACACTTCCAAACACTCCTCTAAGTGGAGTGAGAAGTTCTGCATTTGTCACAATTACTATATTACGACACTTACTTAAGAACCTTGTGCAGAGTTAACACACCTACTGCCTGATAGCTGAAGCAAGGCTCAATTAAAAAAAATAATCAGAAATAAAGACTTTTGCACGGTCTTTCCCTCAGAAGGAATAGTATAAGGAACTTGTTTAATAATCTTTATTTGCATATTGTGTGTGCATGTATAGATAGATATGTATGAAATATATATGAAATCTCAACTGAAAAGACACATCAGAACAAGATTTGTGAATTTGCAGCAACTATGAGAATTAGACCAACACATGTACTTCTGAAGAACATATTTGGAAGCTTAATCATAACCATGAACGTCTGAGCGTAGTATTTAGCTTCATTTGAATCAACTTATGTGCATAGTTCTCCTCCCTAAGAAGAGTGAAAATTCGAAATGTAGTTTTATGGGTTCCGGTTAGTTGCAGCATTTAATCTCCATGGAAATAAACAGAAAACTGGGGTCTTAAGATTATTTATTTAGCAATTTTTCATTATATTGCACGGCTTTGTAATTTAATGTTGCCTGTAAAACCATAAATTAACTGGACTTATTACCGATTCCTCTGATGAGACAGAACAAGCTTCCAGTAACAACACAAGATTTGGTCCTTTGGGAAGGAAATGTAAAGAATGAGCTGTGAGTTATAAACAATGTAAGTTTTGCTTTGTCCTACACATTGCTTGTGAAGCTGCTACTGTCGAAAGAGGTCACAGAGCTTGCACTTCATCACTCAGAATGGCCAGGGTACCACTAACTTAAAATGTGTGTTAATACAAAACCCATAAAGAAAAGTGACTCTTGCCTTGGTCACAGTTTTCTTCGTCACTGCCATCCACACAGTCATGGATCCCATCACAAAGCCATCTGACAGGGATACAGTAGGCCTTATTTTTGCATCGAAACTGATCTTCTTTGCATTCTGTTACACAATCCATCTGTGTGAATATAGATATGAACCAAGTATCAATGAATGAGAAAAACAACAACATACTTAAATACAAACCTAACATCATCTACCACTAGTGTTTTTTTATTGTTTTAAGTATTTAATACAATAAAGTTGGCCCTGACAATGGAATGTGCAATTTAAATAGTTACCAAAGTCCAAGAGAAATTTTAACCACACGTTATATATGTTCTGATAGTACTTCCTTATGTTGCTTAGTATTAGTAATCAGAGCAATGGCTACATTTACATTTCTTAAGTCAAATGCCCTACAAGAAACAACCCTGGATGTGAGGCCCATCAGTGAGAACTGGTTCATGTCCACATCGATCCGGAGTACAAACCTCCAGGGTCGATTGTTTTCACCTGCACTGTGTAGCATCTGGCTCAGGCATCCTTCATATTTTAAGTGGTACCTTTAAGGCTCTGAGAAAGAACAACTATTTTCAGTTTTCTTTTTCTGAAAGCTGTTCAACGAAGGTGGTAATTTTTCAAAAATATACCAACAGCTCAACATGTGGGAAGAGCATGGCAGGAAGGTCCAAGGAAGCCGAGGTGCCTGCGAAGGTTGTATTGGGTGAATCTAGAGGACAGAGGGAGCCAAATATGACACGGACTTGTCCACACCGACAGTATGCAGCAGTCCCTGAAGTACACTCAGCAATGCCCAGGTTTTGACTTAGGGGAAACATTTGAATCATATAATTTGTAATGTTTTGAAAAAAAAAAATTCCAATTTTTTTTTTCAAGAAAAGAAAATTTGTCTACTCCAAAAGATGGTCACAAAGCAAACAAACATAATGCAGTGCAACTACCAAGGAACCAAAATCATGGGGCTAAATTGACCTGGCAGTGTCATGCAGTGGATGCAAAAAAACCCAAATCTGCCCTTTTATTATTTTCAAATCTAAAAGTGACAACAAATTCCACGTCAGAGAATAGGAAAAAAAAAAGAAAAAAAAAAAAAAACATGAGAAATTTGTCATCTACCTCATCAGATCCATCAGCACAGTCATACTCTCCGTTACATTTCAAAGACGCCGAAATACAGCCTCCACTTGCACACACGTACTCACTTGAAGAGCAGGTTGGAGATGCTAGTTACAAACACATATTTTAGCATTAAGAAAAAGACAATTTATAAATAAGTTACTTTATAATTTAGTGTTTTCATCTGGCTAACATAGTTGACCAGACCTTTTTCAAAAAAAATTTGCAAAGTACAACAAAATATTTGACAACACTGAATTGCTGAATCCTAAGTAAATTGTATAACAATAGTGAAAGGATATTTGTATTTTATCATTGAAAAATTTATTTTAATATTTTCCTTATGTTTTGCAACAATGGTAACAACACACATATTCATCAAATAAGTGCATATAAAAAATGCATTATTTAAAACGGGCTTAGGATTTAGCTAATGTTATGTATTTACAGTCAAATGAACTTAATTTATAAGACACCACAGTTTTTGAAAGTATACATTATTACAACTAAAATAAACACATATTAATCAGTTTTATCTAAAATATAGGTGGACATTTTTGTTGCATTGTAAATCAGGGGAGTTTTGTCATAGGCTCCTATCAGTTGCACCAATCTAGACAAAGCTTACAAAAAATTTAGGCCAATTCCTGCAAAAAAGAAACAACTGCATTTTCCAATGTAGGAACAAGGAAATAAAACCATAACAACAATAATAATAATTTGCTAGAGAAAACCTTTGCATAAGGATTAGTAAAATCTGAACGAACACCACAAAGCAAAAAATACCCTGAGAAAATTTATCAGCATGCTAAAAATTACTGCTTTTCTTCAGAGCAGTATTTTGTAAGCTAAGTATACATTATCAAATTATATTTCAATATAATTAAATCAAACACCATTTCCCCCAACAAGCCACATATTGCATAGCTGTATATAAGTAGATTTTTCAAAACATGAGTAGGAAGACAAAAGATAAAGTGTTTCAGATTTCTTTGCGCTCCTGCCTACTTCTAGTGCACAAGGAACCTTGATTTATTTTCTTCTGTTTCAATCTGATTTATTCCTTGCTTCATTTTATTTCTCAGCATTATTTAAAACCATACCTGGTTCACAGTTTTGCTCGTCATCCCCAAGTTTGCAGTCTTCGTGACCATCACATTTCCATTTCGCTGATATGCACTGACCGTTGGAACACTGGAACTGATCTCTCGAACACCCTGTTTCACAATACCTCTGGTGCAATAAAAACAACGTACATACGAGATGAAGAGTTTATTATAATCATTGGTAAATATCCAGCTGATCAGAGAAGTTAAAGCCTATACTCCTCCACACTACAAAATACAGTAATGCTTTGTGAAATAAAATAGGGAAGAGACAAAAGGGACAGGAAAGAACAGAAAACCAGCAAAACATTATCTAGTGAGCTTCTGCTACACATCTAACAGTCTACATTGTTTTCTTGAAAAAATCCACAAACCAAAACACTGCTGTGTGTAGAAAGAGTGGTTCTCCATCCAGAACAAAAAATACATCCAGGCCAGGAAGATCATTGCTGGGCCAAAAAGTTGCAGACTACTTTTAAACATGACTTGATTTGATTTGCCTGTTCTCTTTTCAGGATAACTAACAGGTTTGGTTTTAATTTAGTAAAGACATATACACATATATGGATCTATGCGTAGAATTCCCACGGCTACTTTTTAAATTATTTTTATGTGGGAATCCATTCTCCAACAATATAAAACTAATTTTCTAAAGCAATATTTTTCCTGGAAGAAGCCTACCTCATCTGAGCCATCTGCACAGTCATAGTCTCCATCACACCAGAACCTTGCTGAAACACAGTCTCCGTTTGCACAAAGAAAGTCTTTCAAAGTGCATGTCTGAGGCTCTGAATAAGGAAAAGTAACAACCTTAGGTTTATTAACATTTCCATAAATATTTTATACATAAAAACCTCCAATCAATCAATGAATGACCATAACAAAGTCAAACCCGCCAACTTGCAAACCACAAGGAATTTATTTTTCTGCAGGATTTTGGTTCATAAGATAGCAATGAAAATATTTGCATTTCAGTTCTATCAAAATTTCTTTGGAAAAATTATGTAATGCCAACTATATAAATATTATTTATTTCAATGCATGTATTTTATTACAGCTTTTGTGAGATATGTATCACGGATTGGGAATTAATTTTGCAGCTGTTAATATCCAACGTAATTAGAACTAACCAGATCTTTGATTTTCAGCCAAGCAACAGCATACCATTTATGACCTACCTTTTACCATATGTGTCTGTCAAGAGTCAGCTTCCCCTGTGTTACCCATTCAGGGGAACAGTCTCGAGATGAGGTAAGGTTTGGAGCCTCAAGTAAAATAATCCAGTTTTACAGAAATTAAGCATGGGAGGAAGCATGACAATAATCCACTGACTGAAATACTGACAAAATTGTTAGATATTTAATACAGTAAGTTGCAAAAGTCAGTATACTTTCATAAAAAGCCCCTACTGTTGGTTTGAAAACACAGAAAAGAAAATGAAAAGGTAAGGAGAAAGATGGAATTTTCAAGTAATTTTAGGGAAACAGAAGGGAGATGTTAGATAAAAAGAGTCTAAGGAGCTTACAGGTGGATAGGAGACAATCATGGCTGGAAGGTAAGTGGGATGTTTTGTGATAAACGGGTATGGTGTTCTACTCCCTGTGAAGAAACAAAACACAGGGAAGTCTGAAGTCATTATGAAAGGTGGACACAATGAAGGGGAAGAGTGGACAGAGAATGAATTCAGGGTACAGGCCAAGCAAACAGGAAGCAGGCTGCAGGGAGTGATGGAGCAATCCTGGGAAGGTGAGATTGGCTGTTTCACCCAATTTACTTCACTGTCTGCTCAGCTCTGTGTTTTCGCCAATGCTGCCACAAAAACACTGGCAAGGGGAGCAGCATGGAAGAGTCCCCCAGCAGAACACTATGCACTTTCTTCCTGAAAATGAGGACCATCATGAAAAACATTGGGGAAAAAAAATGAAGTTAGTGTGTTTGGACCATTAGATTATACAAAGGTAGAGAAGTAGTGGGGACCGAGCAGAATCTCAGCAAGTCTCTAACATGCAGTGTAGACTGTGCCAGTCAGAGAGCTCTGGGACAGCAGGACTGAAAAAGCAAAGAAGGATTATTTGGGGGATTATTTCCATCACAGTAAACACTGCATTACGTAAATAATGCAAAATCAAGAATAAGGATTAATTAGTAATTTCAACAGAGAGATGGGAAAAGAGTTCAGGCAAATGGTATATGACAGTGACTAAATCAACGGAGGAAGGGTAAAAAAGAGGAGAGACAGAGCAGACAGTAGCAATGGAGAGTAAATGGACTGGGTAATGCTAAAGGGTCTGCTAGCTAGTTGGGGAAGGCAGAAGCATGAATGCGTTTTAAAAACGACCATAGTGATCAAGGAAAGCAAACACAAAATTAGAGGCTTCCAATTTAGAAGAATTTGGTAGATACCATCATGAGCATACACTAGACATGAGTCATCCAGATATAATGTAAAGTTGAACTTTTTTTTTGTTTTCTGGATTTATTAAAATCAAAAACCTGTTTCAAAACAGCTGAACCTTTCAGCTACTTTTTTTTTTTTTTTTCTCTCCATAAAAAAAGCCAAATTACCCTGTTTGAAAGTTTTTAAGAGAACTTTCATTTTTCAGGAAGGCACAACTTTTCAGTTTGAAGTTGTAGGAGTCATAGTAAAAGCAGATCTACAGCAACTGCCTCCGTTTTCCAGCAATATTCTATTTAAGCAAATCAAAGGTTAACATTTATATGTATTCTTAGATTATACACATACTATTTTGAATTTTTTTCAAAGCAAAAGCTCATTGTATAAACATTATGAAATCACTGACATTTGATTCTTTTGTTTGTCAACAGGCTGGGAAAAGGAAGTTCACGCTATAACAAACTACGTAAAGGAAATAATTTGTGGAAAAAGTAATTCACATGCAAATAAACATTTGTCATGTTTCTATATTAATTTGCAAAATATAAGCAAATACACTGCCTATACCGCTAATGAATTATTTATAAACAGAGATCTGATGCTGGAAAAATGTACACAATGAGCTAACTTCTTAGTTCCATGTTTGCAAGAAAGATTTCTTCTGCTGCTGGAATACATCTCTGTGATTTACATATGAACACAGAAGAGTACGTTCCCATCAGTGCTCAGACTGTTAGTGAAAGGAATAACTATTGATAGACTTTTGTACACGAAATGAAGGACAGCATCTTTCAGCTTCTGCTTTATAAGAACACTGAAAGTGCTTCCCAGGAAGAGCATTTTTGAATTATTAGAAAGAATTTTATTGAAACACAGCACATAAGGTGATCTACTTCTTTCACATTTTAAAGTCTGAAAATAATCTGCAGAGCCAACAGACACCTGTCATCAACTTAAATGGCAGCAAAAAAAGGATCTCATGAGAAACATTTAAAATTATTTCATATTTGGGGTTCAATTTTACATTTAATAGGCATGGATATTGCACTAAGTCATGAACGAAAGGTTTTTTTAAGAGACTGATGTACTGATATACAGGCAAGAGGGAAAAAAACCCATAACTTTTTTTCTTAAAATAGTATATGAAGTTCAAACTTACAGTGCACTTTTTAGATGTATTTGTAGAGCTTAAATATATGTGCTCTTTGTGAGAATTTTATGTTTTGTAACAGCTGTTACAAAGCCAACTTTTAGAGAAACTAAGTTGTATACTAGAAAAGTTGGAACTTGTACACAGAAAAACAAATAACATAATTACAAACATGGGATAGGAGCACTTCAAACAAAATGAATTAGAAGTGTACATTGACTTCTTGATTCATCCTGGCATTTGGCAGTAGATCACAAAGATTTCGAGGTATTAGGAGACATACTTAGGCCATGCTTTCTTCTGATGAATGGGTATTCATCGGATCTACTACTAGTTGGCTGTGTTGGAGTTGAAACCTTTCAATAAGTCAAGCCAAAATATCCAGTATGATGCATCCACATAACATCAGTGAAACAGTATCATGATGATGTTGTGAGTTAACCCCGGAGGGCAGCCAAGCCACACACAGCCACACACAGTCTCCAACACTGCTTTGGTCACAAATCCAAAGCACAGCACCATGGGAGCTGCTATGAAGAAAATTAAATCTATGCCAGCCAAAACCAGTACATATGACAAAATGGAAGAGGAGGAAAAACCAAAACCACCCTCCATTATAATTCTCCACTACAACACTGCTAAAAACAATAACATGGACCATGCAGCAGAATGAATGTCTGCAAACACAAGTTAATATGAGTGGTCATACGAGAGCTTTTTCATATACTTAATGTGGTATTAAATGCAGATTTCCTTTACTTATTTATTGTCAATAACTTTACTTGGTATTGTACTTCACCAGAACAAAGAAGCCACTTGTTCTTTGTTAATCTAGGCATAAGACACATAAAAGAAGAAACCTTTGGTACACAGCATTTTATCATACTAAAGTAGCATACGTGCCTCGGAAAAAAACAAATTAACTAATTTGTTCTCTTGACAACTTGTAGAAGCAACAAAACAGCACTGAAGAAGATTATCTAGCAACAGTAATATTTCTACACTGATTGAATTAATGTCTTTCTACAGCAACATTACATTTTCTTTGCTTCAATGTTTATTGTGTATTATATTTTCCTTAATTACATTCAATAAAACACTACTGTTGCCTTCTTTTGAGCAGGAATAAGAAAGTCGTTACAATGGAATTGTCCATTTTTTGAAGTTCCCTGCAAGAAAAAAATACTGGTTTTGCCCTAATTTGTTTTAAAAAAATCCAAATGAACTCTAAAAGCAAATTTCCCCTCCAAAAAGATATTAAATACTTCAGAAGAGTTAAAAATGCATTCTGCTTTGCTTAGTGCTAACTCAGTACAGACCTATAACCTTCCTAATAACTCTTACTTATATGGGAAGGTCCAAATGACAGTTGTCAACCTTCATTAGGTTTCACGTTTTAAAAAGGTCTTCCAAACTTTAAGATATTCACTGGAAAGTTGAGCTGCCATTTAATGACATTTATCGCAAGCATTGCGTCCCATTAGCACTGCTCTCTCCAGTGCAAACTCTGCTTCCCATGTGTCCTTGCCTAGGTTCCCATCAACGTGACACTTTCATCTCTTCTGTGAGGTGCTCCTATCAGACTGCTTCTGACAAAGTCATGGGTGAGGATGTACTTTGCTCCAATAACCTTGCCAGTTTTTTGAAGAAGCACAAGAGATTTACATTCAGCTATATACATGTTAGATAAGAAGCCAAAGAAAGCAAAGAAATAAGCTAGGAAGGATGGTTCTCACTACAGACTGTAAGACAAATATTGTTAAAAACCAACAGTCTGTAAGAGAAATACAGTTAAAGAACAAAGTCATAATGGGCACAACCCATAATTTACATTATACCACTAATAATTTTTCACACCCATATGTGATAGTTTGAAAGATGCACTGTTTCACTTCTGATAACTTCACAGGATGCTGTGTGTGCATGTGAAAAAACTATAAAGAGAAACAAATATTTGAGCTGAATTTCTGTAATTCAATTAATTCATTCTGCATTCTTGAGAAACAACTCATTTTCTGATCTAATTACCTGACAAGCCCTTTATAAATTAATGTATGCTATGAACAACTTATTGTAATGTGCAAGGTAATATACTTTGCCAAACACTTTTGAAGTTTCAATTTCATATACATTTGTTTCATTACACTTTATTCTATAACCCAGAGAACAGCCAACAACTGAATATATAACTTAATTATTGATGTGAAAACAAAATGGCAAGCTTAATAAATAATTCAAAAAAAATAGATAGATTATAGCTCCATCATTTTTTTTTTAATCCCTTTGCACTATGATAATTTAAACTTTAGGAAAGAAAACTATTAATACTGGGTGATAAATAAATCCCACTTCACACATGGTAAATTTCAAATAAGATGTTTAACACTTACTTTGCAAACAAACAGCAATACTGTTTTGCGGATTTATCGGGCATTCAGGTTCCTCACAGGTAGGAGAGAACTAGGCAAACTGAGCTACTTTGAACAGCAACATTACTTAATGTGATGAAGGATGGACAGAAATGGACCTCTCAATATAGAAAACAACACAAATCATCTCAGGAATATAATAAATGCAAACGGCAGGTAGTGTTTCATCAAACTTTACTGTTAACAAACGTTTATCACTCTTATCACTGAGTAGTTTTTATGATTCCTACCAAGAGATAAGAAATGTGATATGTAACCTATTGACAAAGGTAAACTCGTTGTAATCATTACTTTGAATTGATCAGATTATTGAGAAGTCATAGGTCAGGCATTTTTGCATAGCTGATGCAGAATTACAGCTCTTTATAATAATGAATAAAATGGAGAATTTCAGCAGGGGACATTTTCAATTTTGGTCAACTGATTTTCAATGGATCTGATGGCATTGTATAAAAACATACATGTGCAGTTACCAGAATTAAAAGGTTTCCTCTTACACGTTGCTAAACTGACTTCACTTCTTATAACATGTACTCAGGTAAAAGTTACTTACTACAGTTTTCTTCATCGGAATTATCGCCACAATCGTTTTGGCTGTCACACCTCCAATGATCTGGAATACAGTTGTTGTTTTTGCACTGGAATTCATGAGGCCCACAGGTTTTTTTATCTGTAATTAAGATAAACATCATTTCCATCATTGCAGACAGAGTCAAAATGGGAAAGACTGCTACTAAGCAGTGACACGACAATATTGCTAGACACATTTAAGAAGGAGCAATCATAATACTTGAAATTTTACTTTCAGAAATAATTTATTTCTCATACTACATTCTTAAAGATTCTATTTATTCATTTATACCAAAAGAGATATGCTCATAAATTTGATGATAAAATTAAAATGACTGTATACTCTGTCATTTAAAGTAAAAACCATGAAATTCAGAAGCAATCACAAATTAGTTTGAAAAAGCGTATTACTGCATTGAATCTCAAAAACTGCATTGACTTTTCCTTGAATTTATCTTTAAGATTGCTTTAAAAAAGATCAGATCACAGTAAAGTACAAGAATACTTATTTGAAAATGTGCAAAATATATATTTCTCAAAAGATATGCTTGAATATAGTATTTTAAGATTAATCATACCTGACAGAAAAATTTGCATTTTGATTTACATTTTCACCTTCTGGTGTCTTGGATTGGGAGTCAACTTATACAAAGTAAAATATTATAAAGCATATAATAGTGAACTGAGACTAATTTTCTTCATGCAGTGAATTTTCAATGAGCTTTCCTGTTTACAGAGTAGCATCGTAGGCAAAGCCTCTTGGAGACCTATGAACACCCTGAACTCCTCCAGCAGGAAAGAGCTGCCTCTGTGTTTTATTTATACTTCTTATTTCTTGAGTAATTCTTTCAGTTTCTAAAGACTGAGATGAAGTGAAGTAAATTAAAAAGTTATCAGTGACATTTTCTTTGGGGAAAAAAAAAAGTTTGCTTTGTAAAAGCCTCAATGACATATTTAAAATTACATGTCACTGTGATGATATTTCAGAAGAAATTTTTTAAATTTCCATTAGGCTATTTCATAGCATGTCAGTTCAGACTTCATATTGCTATCATGACAACTTGCTGAGTTCTAGTAACTGACAGAATTAAGAGGAACTGAAACACTAGCTTAAATCAACCTCTCTCTGCTTTCTTTGCCTGCAAAATGGAAAGGACCACAAATTGGAGGTATTAGATTTGATGCAATGGCCCAAACTGCTGCCTTTTGTGCTTTGTTTTAGGTGTGGTTCTGTAACTAGAGTGATAAAAAAAAAAACTACATTTGAATATCAAGAAGATGGAAGTAAGTGGTGTGGAAGCTCCCTTGGTAATTACAATACTGCCTTTTGCATTTGTTCCTTATTCTCTGCCAATACTGTGACTGTATGTAGTTTTCTCCCAAAATTATTTTTATTATGAAGTTTCTCAAGATAACAGTCTATGATATATCAGTCATTACATCTCAAATACTTGCATTGGCAAGCTCTTAAAAAACATTTAACATCACAAAACATAAGAATATCCCCCTCTGAAAATAAGACACTCTCACATTTTTTTTCTGTAACTCAGCAAAAAAAAATCAAGTTTCAAATCAGAAATGCTCCTATATTTATCAAAGTACTTCTAGAAAAGCCTACAATCTCCCATTACATATCTGCCCACAAAATGAGTCCTAAAGACTAACCACAGATTATATTCTATTTGTCCTTCCACATACAATAGAACTACCAAGATCTAATCAGTAATACACAGAAGCCAGAGAGATCACATCTCTTCATTTCAGCTACATGCTAGGATGAAGAGAACATGCATTGTATCTTTTCTTATTCTTCATAAAGAATTATCTAGTTCTCAAGAATGCTAAATCTATTTTCTGTCATTGCTTCCTTACCCTTGTGAAGAAAGACTGGATTTTTTTTTTTTAATTTACCCATGTGCAGTCTAACCTTATGATTACCACTTGAATATTCGTCTTTTTCTTCTTACTCTATTTTTACCAAACACAAAGAAATATTTAATTCTTTCTTTATACAAAATACTTCACGTTTGTAAGGCTCTCCTTCACTGTACAAATCTGAAAGCTTTATTCTTCCTTTCAGTTGACTGATCTTTCATAGCAGCTTACACCTTACAATGTCTTACAAGACAGATTTGCGTGTCTTGTATTTCCTTCTTCACGGCAATGTGAGCCAAAGAAAACACCAGGATATGAGAACTAACATATAACAAAGAGGAAGGTTTGGGACAGTTGTGCAATAATATCAGATTTTTTGAGAAAGATTGATTTACTAGGCTCAAAGAAAATAGTGCCAGACCTTATTTTTTGAATTGTGAAACCTTGAAAAGCACACAGGGACCTACACACATTTTGTCATTGCTGTCTTCAACACTAAACAACTTTCCATTTTTCTTAAAATGAGACCACCTCAAAATGTGGAAGTTCAGACAGGAGAGGTACAAAAGAAAAGAAGTAATGATAACTCAATTTTAGTATTTCTCTCTTCAAATCCTTATGAAGAGATTCATTGGTCTACTGTAACAGGCAAAGGCCTCGTCTCAGATACTTGTGAGACCCCCTGAGGCAGCTTCTGGTTGGTTGGGGTTCATCTTTTGTGCATACCTAACGAGGATTTTATGTTAGAAATAATTCTAAATGAGCATAAAGAAAACAGGATGAAGGCTTAAACAAAAAACAAAACTAACCCCAAAATATTACATACATACCCTAAAAGCATTTTGATTCAAATATCAATCCCTACGAATTAAAACCCTATTTTCTCACTAATTGCACTACATTGCTGTTTGGGGATTTTAATGCCATAGATGTGGCAGGGGGGCTGGAACTCAATGATCTTTAAGGTCTTTTCCAACCCAAACCAGTCTACGATTCTATGTGCACGTTTGTGTGTGTGCATATGTGTGTGCCTGAGAGGGATAAAACCCAAAACGAAAAGAATCTCGCTTTTGATGGAGGATCTGCTAGCTGTTCTAGAGCTTGGCAGGCTGTCGCTGACGCTGGTTACAGGAAATTATTAGCCTGTTGAAGGAAGTTGAAGTTTATAGAAAGCATCCTTGAAATGTCTGAAAGAACATATTCTTAATCATCAGAAAAAAAACCTACTTTGTCTCTTTAGGCTAAAAATAAAATTAATATTAAAAAAATGAGGAAGCAGAAAGCAGTCATACTAATGTTGACACATTATGCTAATAAAGATCTGAAATACATATAACCTTTAGAGCAGATTATAATCACTCTCCAAGACCGCACAGAGATTTCTTCAGATTCTAACACAAACAGGGCATTTTGTGATGGAAAGTATTAAAGTTGTGAGCAAGGATTATGATAATCTAATGGGTTCTTTTAATTGCCTGGACAGAAAGCAGGAATTAACTCTACTTTCTGTTCTTTGAAAAACACCACACACATTAATAAGGATACATTTCCTAACTCTGCTTCGATTGTCTGAGTCAGAAAGTAACCACAGAGGACTAAATACATTCAGACTACTGCTAAAAAATTCACTTAATATAATAACTCCAATAACACACAGCTGCAAATATTGACTAAGCAAAACATATATGACTATGGAGCACTTAAGCAAAAAAGAGATTACCCTTTATACAAATTTTGCATTGTAAGCATTTTAGAAATGAACAATAAACTTTAACAAGTATTAGCACCAACACATGCAGATCTTTATCATACTCTGCTTGCAGCTTTATAATCTAATCCTATCAAACTTTGTTCATAAAAATAGCCACCTTTAAATTAAAAAAAAAAACCCCGAAACCAATGCAGAATGCCAAACCACATTCAAACCACTGCTACAATAAGGTCATTTAAACATATTTCAAATGCTTAAACTACGGAAAACATTAAAACATGACTAAAGCCATCCTGTTCTTGTCAAAACTTAGTTGTTCTATGTGTACGTACCCATGCGAGGCATAGAGACTGTGAATATGGATAAATTGTTCTGTCTCCTCCAGCACAAAACCTAAGAGCACTATATGCAGCTAGCAGATTTAAAATAAAAATATATTTTTTCATTAATTAAGCTGTGGAATTCCTTGTTACAGCATGCTGTGAAAGCTTTATAAAGGTTCAAGGAGACTGAAATCCATCAAGAATTATTGCATACAGGGACATATTTGACCCACAATATCTGATTCTCAAATTGTCAAAGGCTGGAAGAGTATCCCAGGGAAGTTTCATTACAGACCTGCCTTGTTCACATATTCTTCCCTAGATATTCTGCCAGAGACAGAATAAAAGGCAAGATGAGTCTTAGATATGAACCAGCATAACCAGTTGTATATGTTGTGACTGAAAAAGTCTGTTTAATTTGGGACTGAACGCATTGCACCTCTACACTATTTAATTGAGTAATTTCGTCATTATTCTTTCTATTGGCTTAAATGAAAAATCACAGTGAAGTAGCTATTATGAATACAATTTTTTCTGCTAAGTGTTAGGTTCCCCCCCCCGCCCTTTTGCTTTTAAACTCTGTGAATTGAGGATAGTATTAGTTGAATTCTTTTAAGACCCTTTGTGCCATATCAGTTGGGCTTGTACGAGTTGTGCGAGGGTAGCTCCAGAATAGCTCAGAACAGGAGATGAAGTCTCTATGGCAAAGGTTCACCTCCTTTTACAAGTTTTTGCATTCACTGCATCTTCAAGCCAAATGATTTTTTTGGACCGTAACTTCTCTCTACTTGATATGATTAGTTTCCCTTTCTTGACAATTCAAATGACGGTCTTGCATTTTCAGTGTTGAGGAAGAGTTCAATATCCTAGACATTTTTACCAGCTCCAACATTTTCATATACCTGCTTGTGCCAATTGCTTGAAACATATCCATAGAAATTAGCCCGTGTCTGGGTGCTTAGTTCTTGATTACAGTCTGTAATTTTGTTACTCTGATGTCCCTGTGGTAGCATAAACTTGTCCAGACTCATATGTTTCATCAAACCATTTATTGATACGTGGATAAATAATGGTCAGCTTTGAATGCTTTATACAATTATTTTTCCTGTTCTCTTCCATCTCAGAACATTTTTCCATCCTTTCCTTTATAGGCCAGTCTTGAAATTTCCACAAGTTTTTCTGCACTTGTGAGTGCAGTTCTTGGATTGAAATCCATGTCTGATGATTTTCCAATAATATTGACCCCTTTATTTTCACTTTAATGATCTGTAATGCATTTCTCACTTGGAATATTATATTTATCATTTTCTTTCATTTACTTTCCAGCCATGCAAGCAATGAATGAGGACAGCTACTACCACCACACAGCATGATCTTTCTTTTTCCAAGTGATGATGTGATGATGAATAGCAGTTGTATAAACAAATATCACATATAGACCAATCTGAAAACTGCTTAGATATTTTCAACTTTCTATGAGTATTGACTTAATAAAATAATTTTAACTGTTTCTACAGAAATATAATCAATTCTTCTGTTCTGTCAATGAGAAACACACTAAAAACTGTACCATTATAGTTGTGATCCAACAACGAACCTTCAAAAAAGCAATGAAAGAAATTCTGGGATTCAAAGTTAGTACTTATGTTCCAAAAATCTGCCTCAGTGGGGAAGACACTTTGGTTCTGGATATTGTGTAAAAACTGATAGAAATTGGGGCTTGATTTGGTAATGATGCAATTCTATCCTTGATCTTCTCTCAAACTACCAGATTTAAGTATAGAATTTTCATAAATAGCAGGGATTCTTGGAGGAGTCCTGTGGGGATGCAAAATTTTTGTGTTAGGGTACAAAACTCCCTAGAGCTCACAGAGAGAAGCAAAAGTTGGCCATGTCAAGTTGGAATCTGCTCTGGACCCTTCTGCACAGCCAATCTTAACTAGCACAATCTGCAAATGATTACCTTTTTCACTATCTATTAACTACAGTAGCAAAAATTGTATGCAGAATAAATTGATAGAAACTGGACAATTCTGTGAGAAAAATCAAGAATGTCACTTACTCCAAATGAGATACTAATTTACAGCTTCTGCCAATAAAGCAGTATTATAATATGAAGTGTATAGTCTATTCATATAAAGATCACAATTCAACAAGAACTGTAAGAGACAGATACAGCTATCATATCAGATAAGTACAACCATACCTCGAAAGAGGACATACCAAGTGGGATGATTATTTCCTTTTGCGACTTTTTTTTCAAAAAAAGTTAAGTTACAGTAATATATTCAAACGCACTATCATACTCACCACAGTTAGCTTCATCTGATCCATCAGCACAATCCGGGTCTTCATCACATACCCACAGTTTAGAAATGCAGTGCTTTGTTGTCTTACACTGGAAATGGTCTGGAGAACAACTGTTTTCAGCTTCAAATAAAAAGATTAAAAATTAAAACCAGAAATTTCTGCTAATATTCAAAACATTTGTTTAAAAAAAATTTAGGATTTAAAATTCAGAAAGTGGTTATCTCTAGCATCACTTATGTAACATTCCGTAAGAAAACAGCATTTAGACTTGGCTATGCCACAAACTATACTTATAAAAAAATAATAATACTGATTCTCAGCTAGGACACCTCACCAGGGGATTTCAAGGTGCTTTACAAGGATGACCAGCCTAACCACCTCTATTTTACATATGGAAAGCCTTAAGTATGAAATGTGACTTTTTCAAGGGCACTTGATATATAAAACAAAATGGTGGTAGAGCTGAAAAAAAGGTTTGATAGAAAGGTTAATTAGAACGAAATAGGTAATCTCATCTGTTATCTGTCTTGTGGCAGGAGATGAAGCCAATATGAACTTTGTGGTAGACCTACTTGTAATCTCCCCAAAGACAACTTAAGAGTTTTCAGAACCCACAAGGGAGGTTTTATTAAAATACAGACTAGCACACTTAACTTTCGTAAGAGAGACACTAATAAAGTCTAGGTAAGACAGAACAGAAATAATAATAAAAAAATTATCCTCCCCCACTAGCCACTGTGTCTTTGCAGTTGGGTTGATGGCTGAGTTTCAGACAATTCAAAAGCTTGCTTTATGTCACAGAAGACTGTCCTATCCCCACTAATCCCTAGGAAGTTTTCAACTCCATCACAGCTGATCCTGACCCTGTCCCTCCCACAGTCCCTGAGCTCTGCTGTGCTGCAGACTCTGCTGCTCTTTCATTTCTTTCTGTCAGCTACACCTCAAGGTTTTGGGAACCTTCCATATATCATGTGCAGTTCTTTATAAAGAAAAAAGCAATCTTCCCTATCTTCCACAGGAGTTTACCTGACCCCACCTAATCAGTTTTTAAAGAAATGTAACATGCAAACCGGCATATAATACTATCTGTCAGAGGCTACAGCTCTGCTGAGCTGTCTGGAAGATGGCCATTAAACACGACCACCAAGAAAGCTTTTGTATCCTTAGCAACCCTTCCCTTAGAGAGGGCCATGTTCTCTGCAGAAACGCAGCATATGCAAACCTTGAGAAAGCTAACTCAGAAAACAGCAATAAGCACCACAGATCAGCAGTAGATCCGAGTAACAAATTAAGCGAAGGACAGAGATGTATTTCAAGACAGTATCATCATTTTAATTACAAAATGATCAAAGGCAGAGGCTATTCAATACATTTCCATTTTAATTTGAAAATATTTTCTTTACTTATATCTATGAAATATGGAGTGAAAATGAATTTATGAAAAGTAAGAGGTATTAAAAGCTGAGTAAACAGAAATCAAGTTATATGGGTAAATTAATGAAGAAGTCTCCAGAGGAAAAGGAATAGAAAAGGCAGAAAACTCCACAAAAGAAAAAGGACGTAGAAGGAGCTATGGATCTACACCTTGTCCAAAAAAAGATGCAGTGAAATATATTTTTCCATTGAAATGTGTTGCTGCAAGGCATGGCAGATGAAAGCCTCAAGAAGACGAGTCATTTGTGAGGTGGTTAAGAGTGAAACGGATGTTTCAGCCTAAGTCAGAAACTCAATTAAATGCTTGAAATTAATTGTTTACACACCCATCTTCTTTGCAATGACTTTAAAAAATGAAGTTAATAAATGACATTTTAGTTTATTCTCTTGTACACAAAGCATTGCACATCAAACAATCCTGTGTATTAACTGTTTCGCATGTTCCTCGAATTGTTTTACACAAAGGACATGTACACTAGTTTACATAATCTACTTCAGTTCCTTGTTTAAAACCATCTACAGTTGTCAGAGAAAAATTCTCTAAACAGGACTTACGACAATCTCTTTCATCTTCTTCATCACCACAGTCATCCTGTCCATTGCATCTCAGATTTATTGGAATACACTTCTGATTCTTTGTGCACTTGAACTGACCTGACAGACACACGTGTGTGTCTGTAAGTTAAAAGAACAAAAACCTCAAGTTAAAAAGATTAAAAGTTAAAGATTAAAACATGTAAAAATCTAAAGGTAAAACAGTAAAAACATAAATTAGTTTCTTAACAAAATTTAAAGCACATTGAAATCAGTTTAGCATGTTTCTGAAGTCTACAATATATATAATCACCTACCACAGTTCAGTTCATCGGAATTGTCCCCACAATCATTTTCTCCATCACAGATAAAGGCTGGAAGTGCACAAAGTCCAGTTCCGCACTGAAAACGTCCTGGCTGACATTTGAATTCAGCTGAGAAAAAAAGAAAACTGCTTATGAATACTATCAGAGGAATGGTTAAAGTATCAATAGTGTTGTTCTTCTATGGACTAATCAAAAGAACATACAATCCTTTGTATTTGCCTTTATAGTCTCAATCTGAGTAGATATTAGTAACCAAAAAGGTACATGTACTACTGCAAAACTAATTTCAAAGCTTAAGATTTTAAATTTGCATAACTATAGTTCTCCCTTACTAATGATACAGAGTGCAACCCTCTACAGGTTGATGCTTACTATTAGCTCAACAGAGACTTGCAATTTAGGATATAAACACTTGAGTTCACGTCTGCTGATAAGAAACTAATCTGTCCCACTCTAATTCTATTTCCCATGAAAGGTCTGACCTTGTTCCTTCTCCCGGCCACTGCCATTGGAGTGAACAAGCAATTACGCACCTCTACAGTAATATTTTATATAAACATAGTGTAGCTCAAAATGTAATCTTATGTGGAATAATTACATATGTTAAAGCTTGCTTCAAAAGCCTCTGCATCAGAAAAAGAGACCTAATTATAAAATCGTAAAAGGATGGGTGAGAGATTTCAATACAAAAAAAATCAAATGAACTGTTCCTTAACTGGAAGACTGTAAAACACATAGTAGAGCATTTTGCGTGTATGAGCTTGAGGGAAGAAGGCAAGCATCTTTTGATTTATGTAGATTAATATAGCAGTATTAAAATATTCAGTGACTGGGACTGAAAAATAGCATCACTAACAGATATTACTGTTTATGAATCCAGTAGGGTAGAAAGGTACTTTTCTAACAAGTAAGTAAACTTGTAGTCAGCTCCCATCACAGCAGCCACCCTGTGGGATGCTTAAAACATCATCATAATTGACTTCCAGGTGTCTGCAGTTCAACAGGGAGATACTACAGTAACTACTATTTAGCCTATGGGAGACTATCGAGAAATATGCTGTATCTGCATCACCTTCAGGATGGTGTGTCAAAGTTACACAGGATGTATGAAAAATGTTCATTGCATAGAATTATTCGTACTGGAGTGGTGAGATCTAACTCTCCAAACTTTCCTTTGACAATATTTATAGAAGTATAAAAATATTTTTAGAAGACATCATGATAAATACACAGATGCTTAGCAGGAGCCACATGGAGAATGCTGTTGTTCAGGAAATTGCACAAAATACTAATGGCTAGCTAAAGTTGTATAATTGCAATGAAACATAAGCAAATGAGATTAGAACTCCACATTTATATTATACACAAAAATAAACCAAATACTCTGGCAGAATTTTTTCTCTCTATCTAAAAATCAGCAACCTCAGAAATTAGGTCAAAAATAAAAATCTTTAGCAAAAAAAAAAAAAAGTAACTAGGATCAGGTAAAAGTTTAAAGAATTAAAAACGTGTTCTTATGATTTTCCAAAGACCTTAAAAGACCCTTAGTAGGCGTGAGTTAATGAAAATCTTTTACAGGTTGACAAACAAGAGCCTGTACCCTTTGTAGATCTGACAGAGACCAGGGAAAAGAAAGCAGTGCTGCAAACAAAAGCTTTAAAAAAACCCCACAACCAACCAATCAACCAAAAACCCAAACCTCTTCCTAACATTGATAAAGCACTATATTTGATTTGGACTCTACCGACAAGACTGGGTTCCATATTCAGAATAAAAAAACAGGCTCGTCAGAGCCATCTCCACAGTCATCGACAGTGTCACATTTCCACCAAAACGGAATGCATTTGTCAGTTTTGCAACGGAACTGTAAAGGGATGGAAAGAGGGAAGAAAAGCTTTGATATTTATTTATTTTTAAAGAGAGATAGTACAGTTATGAAAAATTAGACTCACTGCTTAAGTCATTGTACCATTAATCAACTCTGTCTGTTAATTCTATAAAACTTATTTTTTAAATGTTCGCTTTTTGGAAATGCTTTGCACTGAGACTTCCACTGATACAAATCCTTGCAGTTTCAATGACAATGCTACACTGACGTAAAATGCCCCGATATAAACCACTCATTGCATTTTCTTGCATGCTATGATTAATCAAATCATCAAATAATCAATTTAAGACCTTATTCAAAACAACCCCTTCAATTCTTAACCAGCCTTCGTAGGCTGTTGAAGCGGACTTAGTATCATTTTTCCAGATAAACCAAACCACCCACAGTTACAGAAAAGGGCTTTAACACGCAGTGTTGTACTTGTATACAGTATCGCTTCTACTGTTTGAATTAAATGAGAAAACCAGAAGCTAGGCTTTCCAACGTTTCAAAAGGATAAAATATTTGTACAAGAAAAAAGAAGAATCCTTTGTAAGACCTTGGCAGTGCCCTTACTCTGAGCTTAGACAACACTGTACCTTTGTTCTGACTGAAAGAGGAAGGCAAACAAAACAAAGAGTAGAAATTACTAGATGTAATCTTCTGGGGCTAAATCTAAAATCAGAGTTCATTATGTAGCTAATGCTACAGAGAAAAATCCATATAGATTATTAGCAACTTTTATGAAATGTTGTGTTTCCTACCTGGTGTCTGTATGAGCACAGAAAGGAAGGAAACTGACAGGTTTAGAAGTGCAAGATATTTTATTTCCTGTAACTCAGCATAATTTTTTCATTTCTTCACATTTTAAAAATCATTGATTATTCAATGAAGCTGTATTTAAAAGGTATATTAAATTCGGTGCATTAGCTCGGTTTTATCTTTTCTGCCAAGAAAATTTAGGGTTTCATAGCTATTTATGTAGTAGGACCTCCAGTTGGAGCTACACCATTCTTGTACCACGTTGGGGGACATGCTGTCTAACACGCTGGGTTTGAAAAACAGCTATTCTGAACTGTTCCACAAAGGTAGGCATCTCAGAACAGCTCAGCAGAAAGTCTCCAAATGTAGGAGACAAACAGAAACTCAGACAATTCTCAATCGTAGTATTTTCTATTTGCCAGCACAACCTTCCTGCTGCTTCATTGTTTTAAGGTGCCAGCCTCGCTCTGCTCACAAGGGACTTCAGGCTGTTAAAATGACATTATGAGTTTAACTCCAGCAAATGGGTACTAACTCTTAGTTACTATTATGCTCTGCATGAAAACACTTGCATTCCCTTCCAAACTGGGGAGCCAGACACTGTAAAATCAGGGGTCAGAGTCACATAAATGTGCCTGGAATGACCAGAGTTTTGGTGTTCCAGAGTCTGATGTGTTTTGTACTAAACAAGTTCTCACGTCAGATTAGTCTGTAGATGTGCCAGACCAGTGTATCAGCCATCCAGCTCCTTTTCATCAGAAACAGCTAACAGTGGGTGTGTTGTCACGAGCGATTACATCAGAGGAACAGCTAGGCTTTCATAGCATCTTCTGAAAATCTTAAGTAGCAAAGTATATTTTTGCCACTGATCTCTGCATCTGATACCATCAGATTGATAAATTAAACAGTAAACAGATTTCAAAATTGGAAGAAAATTACTAATAACCACTGTCAACTTGTAACTGTCTGTCTGAAGCAGCTCCTTCTATTTAAGCCTGTTCTCCCTCCTATAGAATTCAAGTGATAAAAATATTGCTCCTGGAAGATCCAAGATGTGATGCTATCCTTCAATTCAGAGTAGCAATGAATTATCTAGAAAGGAATAGAGCCATTCAATCAATCATTAGCATATAAATTCACAGTGGAATACGTTTCCAGTGCCATTTATAGAAAATAAAAAAAAAGTGCTGTTGTTTTAACCAAACAAATTTGAGAAGCTAGATATGGGGGGAAAATAGGTAAAAAATAGATAATTTTACAGATGTTTTACACATTCTTTTTGTTCATCACTTCATCGGAAGTAACAAGTTTGAATGAATACTCTCAAATCATTGTTATATACGCTCTGTATCACTGCTATACACACTTTCTATTTTTATGTTTCATATTTTATACAAATGTTTCTTCAAAACAATTTTTATGGGTTTAGTAGCTGTATTTGTTCTAGTGACTGGCAGAAACATCCACATTTGAAAGGAAACAAGTTCTGCATTGTCTGGAAAAAAGGCATTTGCAAGTCTATTTTCAACTAACAGCCTTGAAGATGAAACGCTTTAAATGCACCCATGAGTTACCCAGTCTTCGGCTCCTTTGACGGATGCTTCCACATTCCGTGGGCACCAGTATTCATTATTTAAAAGCAGGTGGAAACACAGTAAAATATCATCCCCGCTCCCCCTTCCCCTATATGTATATATGCAGCTACCTGACTGGCAGTGCAGTTCGATAAGCACGTCTTGTTATCCGCAGCAAGGTAAAAGTTAGTGGGACAGGCACAAGTATACTTCTTGTCAGGGGCTAGAAGGCATAAATGACTGCAACCACCGTTGTTTAGTGTGCACAGATGTTTAGACACTGTGGATAGAACAGGAAAAGAATATCAGAGCCTCTTCTTTAGTATACTTCAGGGAATCTGCTTTATAGAGGAAGAAAAACGTATTACACATACTATTTTTACAATGGAACATCTGAAATAAAAAGCCCATAAGAGGCAACCTTTTCCTTTTAAGCTATTCTCCATTGTATGCAAAAATTAATTTTTACTATGGATGTAAATTTAATACTGAAAGAATGAGAGGAAGAAAAAAGCACTAGGGGGTTTTTCTGTTTTGGTTTGGTTTTTTTATAATGAGACAAAAAATTAGCTTATCTAGGTCAAGTGCCAAATTGTATTCAGTTACGATTCAAATACGGGGAAATCCGGAGATTAGACACAATTGTAACGCCTACTTTCTCTGACATTCCCTCAGTCAAACAAGTTTCTAAATAAGAGTATTTTTCTGTATTATTAACACTCTCTTACTTTTCAAATAATGTTAAATGTTTTGATAACTGGTAACTTGTACTGTAATGCAGCTTAACAGTTCTGTACTTCCAGTCAGTATCTGGGTTAATTTTTAAGCACCTAAATTGGTATCTCGCCACTGAACAAGATATATCACGTTTATTTAATACCAGATATAATTACACACAGGTTTATGTTTAAAAAAGCTAATTTGAAAAATTCCACAATTTGAAACAAAACAGAAATAAAAATAAATCACTGCAGAGCTTTCATTAACCCAGCAACTCGCTACTAAGTGAAATACATCAACGCACTGTATGTAAAGCATAGACAGAATAATTACCATCAGGTTGTCTATAAGAATGATACACCTGGATGTCTGTTATGGCATGCCATGAGTTGATCAGCGATAGTCTGTCTGATCCAGAGGTTTTGTGGGCACGGCTGAGTGATTTGGTTTTCCCATCTGTCCAGTAGATGTAGTCTTCAAACAATGTTAGTGCAATCACCCCTGGAATATCTTGATTCGGGACTGTAACAAGAGATGCTAAGATTAAGAAGATTAAGATTGGAAGACTACCATTTAAAATATTCCATACTGCCTGAGTTGACAGATACAACTGCTATGTAATATCTTGAGAATACTTGTCATGACAATATGTCAAGCCTAGAGGGTTCTTCATTACCAGTTACGATAAAGATGGATGGGGTACGAGATCTGCTTGCTTAGAATTAGTTGACCCAATCAGTGTTAAGTAAATGAAATAATTTCAGTTAATAAAAATCACCTCCAGATTCTAAACCAATGACAAGGTAAGCTTTAAAGCAGTTCATAACACAAATACAACTTAACCTGCTCTTTACAGAAGACCAGTATTCATTTGCTGTTTAAGGGGAATAAAAGGTATTAGAAAACATCCAGAACATATGGTATACCATACCTTTATATCATATATAAAGATGCACTTTGCTTAACACCCTTCAAGACAATTAATAGAATTTATTTCAGCAAAATATTCTGACAAGAAAGATGAGTGAAAAAAAAAGTTTTGCATTAAAATAAACATAGCAGTAAGAAAGCTTATTGCTTACTCCTAGCATAACCAACCATACAATTTGAAAAAATAAACACAGTGATGATAATACCCCATTGTTACAATATCACAAAATTATTAGCCAACACAATTTTAAAAAGGACAGAAGGAAAAAAGGAAAAAAAAAGTTTTGGAGCATTCTTTATCTTACTACATACTCTTTAATCTTGAACTATTTGTTCATTAATATGGTGAACATAAACTCCACCTTTTTTAACATATATAGGTGTAATCATAAATGTTAGAAGAGAATATCCAACCACAATGGTCACTTTGTAAATTATAATATTTTGTTGCTGAGTCACTCTAATTACTGACAGAGCTGAAAAGGCAGATCAGAGCAGCTGAGTCTGCCATTTTTAATAAACATATCCTTAACACCTTTACCTTGTTTTCTTAGACAAAAACAGCTTCATCTTTTTACCTGGAATGTGCTTAAATAGAGTTGGTAAGTCTCAAAATCTGGTTGGAACACTTCATCGTTCACCGACAACTGATACCGAACATATGGAACGACAACTTAGCAAATTCAATTTCATATATAATAGTCTTGCCGATAGTGAACTCCAGTACAGGTTATGTTGCCTTCTGGTCAAGGAAACCTTACTGCTTAGACATGAAATTATTTTCCCTTCTTGTATATTTACATATACCATAGCCATTATAGTGAAATAACAGTACAATATTCTTTTAAAGAGCTTCACAACATTTCTAAGAAACAAGTCAAAGTTCAAAGAAATCTTAATCCTAACACTTATTACGTAGGCAACTTTGGCATGGTTCCTTACACAGTACAGTACCCCCAAGAGAAGCTCTTGTAATTTCCCTTATTTGTAGCATCACAGGGGTCTAAAAACTAGAAGTGAATCACTCCGCATGGTGACTGCAGCTATCCTGTTCCTCTGAGCGAGGAAGGGAAGAATTCTTGAAGTACTATTACTTTTAGTGTGGGGGGATCTTTAGTATGGCAAACAGTGAAATGAACCCTGCACCCAGTCACAATTGAGCCTAAGCAGCCAAATCCCAGTCAGCACCTGTTTCTTTTAATGCACTTTGCTTAACGTGGGTGATTTTCCTTGAACTTTCTCAGGAGACTCCTTGAGCTCTGCATACATCTTTGACAGTGACACATTTAACTTCATAGTGTTCCAGAAAAGGCAGATATCTCTAATTTCAATTTTAAAAAGTGAATGATCTTTAAAATACTTTGGCATAATTATTAATTGAGAATACTACTTATATCACATGCTTACTACCAGATTACTGCAACTGATTAAAAAAGCACAGAATTTACACATTCATGTCATTCAGGAAAAGGAAAATATATTTCAGAATTATTTCTTAATCAAAATCCACCTTTTGGTTTGAATCGCTATACAATATTTCAGCAGTCCCTGAAAAACTGGACTCTCCCAGATTTCCTCTGCTGCCACTGTCCCCACTTAGTTACTTCATTGAATTTAAGTTATTCAGTTGCTTTATTGTGCTATTATATTTACCGTGGGATTTTGAGTACATCTGGGCACAATCCATTGCTGTCTTTATATACAGAGACTTCCACATATTAAATTCAGCACTTTTTATTTTAGGTAGATTATAAACATTCGTTATTGAAAGTTTTCTTGTAGCTTCTAAGTCATACATCTGTGCCAGAATACAAAAATTAAAAGACAAGCAGGAGTTTTAGGTACATCCGCAAAATTGCAGGAAATTCCCCATTGATCTCAAAGGGCAGTTTCTAATGAAAAATATAAACCAGGCTGACAGAAGAAGCAGGAAGGAATGGGAGAAAGAGAAACTGCTACTCTGGATAAAACCCTGAAGCTATCCATAAAGCTATTTATTTTTTTTTTTTTCTCTTGAGTTCTGGAAAAATATTTGTTCATATGAATTATGAATTATTGCTGCTACTTTTGACACCAAATTAAAGAGGTCAAAGCTGCCACTCCAGTCTTTCTAAATAAACCAAATGTGTTTTTGCCTTTGTTTTCTCTCTTTCTGATCCCACTTAAGATTAGAATAAATGAACATGTAGAAGGCTTAATGCACATGAAGATATTAAAATTATTTTCACCTTGTCTTCTTTATTATTGCCTACCAATGAAAAATACTTCTGGCAGCCATCCTCTTTTTTGGCCATCCAGAAATTATGAGTAAATGCCATATCCTGAGTACAGATGTATGAGTAAATGTTTACTTTTGTTTCTCTGCATGTTTGTGGGTTGCTATACAATTTATCCTGGCTTCAATGGATTATGCCTACATCAGAATCCAGATGAAACTTGATATTCATGAACTAGAGAAGATTCAGGCGAGTAACATATTGTCTGAATTGTCTCACTACACCTTATTAATAGGAAAGCTAAGTTAAATATGGGGTGTAAAATGTTAAATACTACAGTTAGAGCAACGTATCTCAGGAAATTATTTGTTCACTCAAGTACATTTTTCTTTCATTTTTTTTTTAAAGACAATTCTGTAAGCACCAGGTTTAAAGACCTAAATCTTGCAACTATCTTAAAAACAAAACCATAATATCAAACACAATGTAAGAAATATTATACTTTTTAAATGTTCTTTAAAAGAAGTATGACGGTATAACTGTTTCTAAAAACTGGATTTTCCATTATGACCACATATTGATCAATAGTTGAAACTGTCAAATGGTTTAAACACTAGCAGACTAAAGTTGTAGTTTGTCCTGCCACTATTTGTTATTTCTGAGTAATTTTATAAGTTTAATGGGCTTCTATGTTCAAGTCAACTTTTAATTATGTAATGTTCAACACAAACTTGATCAAAATTCATTCAAAAGCTTGCACTGTTTATAGCTGTAAAAGCTATATGTATTCTATTGTGACTATGAAACTTAGAGAAAGTGATTAAAAAAAATCAAAGAAGCAACGGACTGTGTTAAATAAGACAGTATAAGCAAATAAATGTAAATAAAAATCTACGTAAAGTAAAACACACAGAATATAAGTATAGTATCACTAGATAGAAATATTTCTCATAAAAATGCTAAGTTGACCATCAAACTGATAGTTATTTTGATTTACTAGACCTTGCTCTTATTCATGTAACAAAACCCAGTACGGGGGCATATTCAACAACTTACTCAACAATTAATGAGGGACAAAAAAGCACGGAATGCAAAAATCACCACCCTAAGTAATTTCCAATGAAAAACTGCACCTGAAATTTGCTTTTGTGATTCCTCTTCCTACCACAGCCTCCTCGTACCGGAGATAGACGAGTCCCTTGCAATCCTGCCTTTTCTACCAGGCCTCTACCGCTACCTCTAGTTCTCTACTAGGGTTTCCTTTTACACATAAATCCTTGATTCTCTTACGCTGAATGCTAATCCCAAACAGAGCTTGACCAAACAACAAGATGGGAAACATGATAAGAGAGAGAAGGCAGAAAAGAGACAGAATGCCCAGGCCTATCAGAAAGCTACGGAACATAGGAAGAAGAAACACAAATGGGTAGTAAAAGGGAAAAAAGGGGAGGCTTGCAACAGATCAGAAGCAGTGGAAAGTACAAATTATTAGATTCTTGAACACGGATTAAAATGACAATAGTTAACAAACTAAAGGGCGATAAAGTGCTGCACGAACTCAAGGGAAGAAGAGCCATGTAACTCCATGAGAGGGGACACAATTATGTAAACATATGAGAAGCATGCACAGACTTAAAACGTACATATCTCTCTCCTGCATTTTGGTCTAATTTAGATCCAATAATATAAATTTATATGCTGTAAGTCATATCTGTGACAAACCTGTTTCCCTTAGATTTTCTGAGTACCTCTACTTAAGCATAAGAAACGTTAATTTGGTTTCAGGGGTGGAAAGCATCCCAACTGGGATTTCTTAACTACAAAATACGTGTTTTGAAGAAGTCATACAGAATAAGCCCAGTCCCACTCACCTCTTACTGAAACACAAATATTTCCAAAAGTGAAAGCAAATACTCTAACTAAAATCAACAACAACAACAAAAATCTCAACGTCAGCTTTTCAAATACATGTGCCAAGAAGTGTCCTCAAAAAGAGGAAATGTTGACTTCTTCTAATCAGTAAACACAAGAATACCCAAATTCTATAATATTCACCATGGGTACATTTTCTTTAGTGTTTGCCTCCTCCTTAAGTTGAAGCTAGTTGAAGCTAGCTGAGCTACAGAGATCTGTCCCTTTCCAAAAAGAAGGAACTGCAACTTTTCAAAGTGTAGAAGAGGAGAAGAGGTGATAGATTCCTGCCATGCTCCAGAGTTCCAGTGCTGGTAAGTAAATGCTAAAGGTAATTCATTGTTGTTAAGCAACATTTTAAATGACCACCTTCTCTCCGTGTGGCATTAAAGCAATTTCTGTTTAAGAATTTTGGTACCCGAAGACAGAAAATTTACATTGGTGATCAAACCTCGAAAACAAGGC